TCCAGGTACAGAGGTCAAGGACAGAATGGAGTAGAAGATTGGCCTTTGCTCCATGCCAGCCTGTGTACTACCTGATTTGGTAATTGAATGACTCGACATTCTGGTTAGGGAGTAAATTTACACTGAACTCTTTACAAACAGTATTTACTAACAAACATAGTTTAAAATGGTACCTTTACTTTCTTTAGCAAATCTTTCTGAGGATAGTGATTCTCAATTGAAATGTTCTTCTAGGCATATTACTAACATGGAAATAACTTGAAACAAAGATGTCAAGTTTGCCAACAGGCTGGCCTGCAGAAGAGCTCTAAACTCAAGTGAGTCCAGCAAAGAGCCACAAAAAAGATCATTGGGAAATAAGAGAATCTGACAAAAAGAGAGGCTGAGAGAGCTGGAACTGTTCAGTCTGAAAAGATGGCTTGGGGGGATCTTATCAAGTGTATAAATAGCTGGCAGGAGGGAATGAAGAAGACAGAGTCGGACCCTTCTCAGCGGTGCTGAGTAACATTCTCAGTAATAAAAACTGATCAGGTAAGCTCAGCAGGGAGTAAATGTCAGAATGGCTGAAATTAAAAGGCTGCTGCCCTTTGCTCAGTCCGTATGCAAAAATTCATGCCAAGCTATGAAGAAACCCATGCTTTTGGTCAAAGCTACAGTGCATCTGGCGAGCCAGGTTAATCCCTTCATGCTAAACTGGCCATTTACTTTAGGAAATTTCCCCCAGAGTCTATAACCTCTGTTGACTCAAAAGGAGGGCAATGAAGATGGTAGCCTTGAGGGGAAGCCATATGAAGAGCGGCTGAGGTCACTTGGTCTGTTCAGCCTGGAGAAGAGGAGACTGAGGGGAGACCTCATTGCAGTTGCAACTTCCTTGTAAGGGAAGAGGAAGGGCAAGATCTGATCTCTTCTCTGTGGTGACCAGTGACAGAACCCGAGGGAATGGCCTGAAGCTGTGTCAGGGGAGGTTTAGGTTAGATATCAGGAAAAGTTTCTTCATTCAGAGGGTGGCTGGGTGCTAGAACAGGCTCCCCATGGAAATGGTCACAGCACCAAGCCTGACAGAGTTCCAGAAGTATTTGGACAATACTCTCAGGCACATGATGTGACTCTTGGGGATGGTCCTGTGCAGGGCCGAGGGCTGGATTCGATGATCCTTGCGGGTCTCTTCCAACTCAGCATATTCTGTGATTCTGTGATTCTGTTATTTCATGAAGTCCCAGAGCTAATCATTAGTAGTTTTAGGGGAACTAACAGCTATGTGAAAAAAAAAAAGCAGTTAGCTTACTATCTTCAGTGGTTACATTTTTAAGATTATTTTGTAAGAAAAGGGATAGAAAATTATTGTAAAAGAAACATACAAGTTGAAATGTTTATAAAGGTCCCCAGAATATACAAGATCAGTGACAATAAAACAGTTCATTGCCAAAACCTGGCTATTTTAGGGTCGCACAATAACTCTTGTAAAAACCTACAGAATCCATTCTCATAGCCTACTCACTTAGAAAAAGATCAATAATATTTCTGAATATTAATTTCTTGGATTATATCAGAGATATCAATCTCCAGTGTCCAGACAGTGACCACAAAATTACCCACATCGAAAGTCATACAGTTGAAATAAACACATTTGATCTGTGTTTCTTCAGAAAATCTTAGCTGAATAAACCACATTAACTGCTATCAGTTTGGATTGGACAGACACATTCAGAGACGAACACTGAAGTGAACTGGGAAACCTTATAAATGCCTTTGACATTTACGTGCTGCTTGAATCTATTTAAATAACCATGTCTGTCACTTATCCTTCTTAGGAGTTTCCATGTATCACAAGGGCTCAGGAATGGTCTACTACTAAGAACTACTCCATAAATAGTTCAATTTCTGTAGTAACTATGAACGTCAAAGGCAAATGACATCATATATATTAAAATCACAAAGCACAAATATTTCTGATATTTTCTAAAATTAAACCGTTTAAAAAATAAGCACCCTGGTCATCATGTTTTTATATCAAACAATCTCATCATGCAAAAGAATCAAATCCAAATGCATATTATTTTTGCACTTAAAAGTGCAGTGAAAATGACTGTGCAAGGTTAGTTTCCAATATTTAACCTCCATGCATATAATGGAACCTACATTAAAATGTATTTTAATAGGTGATTTCATTAAAATTCTGGAGGGAAAGACATCAGCAAAATCATGTTTTAAAGTGCCAGAAACATGAAATTACTTTTTGGTATAGTTTCTTAGAATAAACTTAAATACAAATGTACTTAGTTTTACTGAAGTGTTCAATAGTGTGGAAAATAAGGAGAGTAAAGGAGACAAAACAGAAAACAAATGTCATATTCCAGCAGAGAAACTTTAAAATTCATTACAATGATAGTACTTCAAAATGTTTAAATGCCCTATTTTACACAAGTCATTAAAATACTATTATGAGAAAAACAAAAAGGCATCAATAAATAGGAAAACACAATGTATTTTCCTAACTCTAAAATGTGGGATTCCATAAATATAAGGTACATATATGTATCAATCTACATTTTAATTTCTATAAAATCACTTCAACTTTTATTATTCATGGTTAATCAGTATGAAGATAGAGTTCATGATGAAATACAACATGACTAATACAGCAGTTGTTGAAAAAAAGCCAACTTACCTGTCTTCCAAACATAAACTACTTCATCAAGAACTTCTATTGGTTTCTGATACTTCTTTCCATGTCATTTCACACTTACAGAGCAAGAGTGCAATTTCAATAGTGAACATATAATAAGGAAAAAACAAAAAGAATTATTTGATATATAAGAATGATTATGGGACAAACCAGCTACATCTGAAATATTTTGTGACAAAGAAAGATTTATCACCTTATGGTGGTACCTAATTAAAATACAACGTTTACTTGTTTTCTCAAAGTACAAATAGTGTAATTTATAAATATAGTGTATTTTTTGTAAAAACAGATGGGCATGAGGGAGATTTTGTGGAACCATGATAAGTATTTTATATGATCTTGCACACAGAAAAAATGATAATAAAATGATAATAAAACTGTTAGTTTACAAAAATGTAAACCCACCAACCTCCCTGCCCCCAAAGAAAATGGTATAACCCGATCAGGTTGCCTATTTTTAATTATTCTCCGTCCGGAGAGTGACAGACCACTCTATTTCATTTGATTAACATGATGACAATATAAAGAATTAATGCTTCTAAAATTGGTTTCTCACATGTGATAGAGAGGAATGTGTAAATATTACATAGAAGACAATTTTCTAGAATGTTTTAACCGGGCATGAGACAGATCCCCTATAAACCCCTCCTACTTCAAAGAAACTACTGTGTAGAATGTTCCAAAGTCAGTAAACAAACATGACCAAACAAATAATGCAAAAAAAGGTCACTATTCCTTCACATGATTTCATTGAAGCTCTGCAACATCCTCTTTTTTTAAAGCACAGCATTAGAAGTAATGAGCTAGAAATTAGGAATATGATAAGAAGTAATTTAACTTGATGTGCAATTACATATAAAATTCTTTTCAAGGCTCTATTGCTTTTATACATATTGATCAAATCATGAAACTATTAAAAGACTAAGATATATGTGCATTTCTTCTACTGTTTTCTTGTGAGCCCTATGTGTGTGCAATGGTGAGAACATCCTGCTGTGCTGCCACAATTTAGTATTGCCAGGTCAACCGTGGAGAAGATGCTGTAAACTTACACACTCACCAGTGTCCTATGCTGCCCTCCACACTGTTGGGGAGAAACAACTCAGTCAGAGAAAAGGAACCAGGAAAAAATATGTTTATACTGTGCTGATTTTCATATGCATTTTTAACTCTATTTGGCAACTGCAGTCCAGCAAAAACTAGTGTCATACCTGGTGTTTCATATCATGGTCAGAGGGAAAACTAGTGTAGTGAGTTAGCTACACACCAATCAGTGACCTGTTCTTTGTGCACGAGAGTATCTGTGTTAGTTGCCCATATTGATTCTTATAGATCTGTTGATAAAAACCAATGTCGACACACTGTGGCTTCTGGAAGACAGATGAAGTTGTACTTTGGCAATTATTCTTTACAAATTAAGAATTGCCAAAGGGTATATGTTTCTTTCTTCTTACATCAAGAATCTCTTTCTCCTTCTAAGCAATGTGGATGCCACAAACAGAAATAAGATTAGTTGTATTGGAACCTTCCTACTGTGCTGAAATTCAGATCTGTTTCAATGAACACAGATGATTTGCTGTCATAGTTGGCACTCAGTTTAAACTCAGCCTTCTCACTCACATAGCCTTGGGGTGTTTGCTCCTAAAATTCAACAGTTTCCATCATTCCTTTTCAATTCATGTGAGTAATGTTGAACTTCTGATGGTAGGAAACTTTAAAGATGCATAACCATGTATATTTAAGAGCAGAGTCAAGATTCCCTCTTTGCCAAATATCCGTCAGTTATTACCATTTTTCTGCTATTTAAGACAGCAGAAATATCAATTTTTTTCTGAAGAAGGCATAGAACCTGACTGGATAGTTATGCTTATAGAATAAAAAATTTTACTGTCTCCTCAACTCAGAATTTAATCAATTTTCTGATTTTGTTTTTTTCTTTTAGCTATCTATTTTAGAAAAAAAATATATAAACAAGTCATGTCTGGCTGTGGTGAGTCAAATTCTAATTCTTTTATTCCATCTTCACCTAGCACTTGCACCAGCTCGGACTTTTGTAGGTTCTTTAGTTTTGTGAGGTTTTTAGGATTTCACCCATTTTATGCATGTATAGCTTAATAATTATTTACTTTCAGTAATCCAATTTCTATCACCTACTCCCTATTTCAAGTAAAACTAAATTTCAAAATTTAAAAGATTTCTCCACAACATTCTATTTTCCTGCCCTTAAGTAACTCTCACAAATACACGTGTGTACGTCTGTGCACGTGTCTAATGTGGGATGAGCATCTAGCTCATATTAAGTTTTAATGGGAACTTTCGTGTGCATAGTACAATATATATGCTGTGAATGAAGGAGATAACCTACAGGTATACATATCTACACTTCAGACAATTTTATAAGGTCTAAGAATTAATTGGTTAGTTTAAAATGCTAAAATGATTCCCTGAGGATTTATGAGCTAAGAATGCTCAGGGGTTTAGTGTCCTGACATCTCTTTAATTAGCAGTCTCCAAGATCTCACACTAAGAAGATGCTAAGCCAGTGCCTTCTGTCATATCTCAAGAGTTTCAGAAGGCTTGAAAGCCACAGAGGAAGGTGAATGTATTATGTCTGTGAGCTATACAATATGTACAAAGTACATTTTTCTTACTAGTAACAAGTTAGGACTTCTTCCTACCACTCCTGCTTTGATGGTGATGAATTTCTAAAAGAAATCCTAAGAAAAATCCAGCAAAAATGGGTGAGGTAAATAAAGATGCTGTTGAAAAATACCTGGAGAACAATCCTCAGTTTGCCAAGGAGTATTTTGACCGAAAAATGAGGGCAGAAGTGCTGGGAAGTATCTTTAAAGTGAACCCTGGAGATGTGAAGGAAGGAGTCAGCTTCAAAGACATGTCTCGCCTGGAGGAAAGTAACATACTTTTTGAGTTGATAACAGAAATCCAAGATGAAGCAGGTGTTATGGAAAAGATAGTGCACAAGGCCCTGCAGAGGCTGGCACAGCTGCTGGCAGCTGATCGGTGTAGTATGTTTCTTTGTCGTTCCCGAAATGGTATTCCAGAGGTAGCCACCAGGCTTTTGGATGTCACTCCAACTTCCAGCTATGAGGAAAATTTGGTAAAACCAGAAAATGAGACTGTTTTTCCTCTGGACATCGGGATAGTGGGATGGACTGCTCATACCAAGAAGTTTTTTAATGTACCTGATGTGACAAAGGTAAGTGACTTTTCTTGGGGACTGGGTTTCTGTGCATTTGCTTACTCAGCTTCCTACCCAGGTAAAAAGTCATTATTTCGAAACATCTCAGAGACAAAATTCAGACTAATAACATGAGAAAAGCATCAGCAGATTGCATAAAATCCAGTAGAACCACATCATGTAGCCTTGTGAGGTATTTCCAGTATCCTCATAGCTGTTGTAATGTCAATGACTATAATAAAGGAGAAGAATATTAGATAAATAGAGACCAGTGAATATTTGTGTTTCTGTTGAACAAGGCAGGCTTCTATTCTGTTTTCCAATATGGGCTTGCAAGGGCTCTCCCTTATCATTCTGTGCTGCCATACATCTATCTCTGAATACACCTAATTTGCAGCTTTTGTAATGAAGATGCATCCTTTTAAGTAGGTGACTGAGGACAGATGAAGATGATGCCAACATATATGTTCAGGTTCAAGTCAGTGTTTGATTTTAAATGGATCCAATCAAGTAGGTCTAGATCCAGGGCTTTCGTTCAGAACCATCTATAGAAGAAGATTAATGAGTCTGATCTGTTCTGATATTTTTGAAGTTCTTATTAAATTTGCACAGAATCACCTTCTGTACTTAAGAGGCTGATAAAGGTTATTATAAATGTTAATTAAAATTATGAGTGACCTAACAAAAATTAAACATGCATGAATGACATCTGCTTTAGAATCTACTCTGAAATATATGGGGAAACATAAATATGCTTGGATTGTTGAAGATTTCTTTAAAAATAGCTAACCTTATATCATCAGATGGTGACATTTTAGTCTTATGTGGAAAAGCTGAGCATAATCAAATGGTGCTAAGATAATTCTCAAGATGACAGTCTGGATTCTCAGTATTTCCTATACAGTCAATTAAAAATTTCAGGCCATTTCAGAGATAGAAATTACCTCAATGTCCTAAGCTCATTTTAAATAATAAAAATATTTATAATTGATATTATCTATGCTTTCCAAGAGGTAAATGAAAAAATAATAAATTTTATAATGCTTACAGTTATAAAGGGCTATTTTCAAAGCTCAGAAACAAATTAAAACATATATATATGTGAAAAGAACATTCCAATATATAGTAAACTACCTCAGATGTAAATAGGAATCACAGGAGCAAACAGAAGAATGACTGATTTGATAAAACAAATCAGTTGATTTTCAACTGACCACTAACGTTTTCTTCAATGACTGCTGTTCTGACAAGAAGAGTCTGACTTACTGCCTCTTACCACCACGTGGGGGGATTGGAGGATAATCCTTCTAAATTCATAAGACTGATTACATGAGAAAAGATCAGGAGGATCAAGAAAGATGTGCCTCCTATCAGACACTGCACTGCTTCTCAACATCAGTATGCGAGAGGCGCCCAGAACAGGGCTGCCCAAATATTTCTGTGTTTGCAGTAGGATTTGATCAAAATTTTGTGAGAAATGTCATTTGAATATGCTTAAATAAGAGAAATTTTCTGTCCATCTAATCCTACTAGGTATTTTGCGCTCATAAATTAATTCATATCAGCTTGATATCTGTCCAGTTATTATTCAGTCATTCTAAGGTAATTTTTACTTAGGCACCCATTCACTTTCTTAGGATTACTGAGGTCTCTGCCATTAAGCACATACTTAAAAATGCAATTAAATCACAGTCTCTTTAACCTACATTTGGCAACTAAATGTCATATAAATATTTATACTTTATAAGTTAAGTACAAAACTCCCAGAGACTTCTCTGGGACCAAGGTTTGATATTTAAAAACAATCCCAGAGACCTCAAAATTGTCACGATTTCCATTCTATGTGTACAAAATGTTCCTGTCCAAGTCCACACTCCTCACACAGGCAAAAGTCCCACTAATGTCACCAGAATCTTTACCTCCATAAGGAATCCAGAACTGCAGCTTGAGTCAGTAACATTTAAGGAATATAATTAGTCCATGGCAGCAGAAATAGGCAGCCACTGAAGCCTTTATCATGTTTTGAAAGGATGATCATTCTTCAGTTCACTTCATATGCACTTCAGTCAAACTAGATTATCTGCTACTCAAGTTCTGAACAAAAAATTACAAACAGAATTAAGCCAGAGAGGAATTTTGCCCTTACTGCCTTGTCAGAATACAAAATGCACAATGACTACTTCTAGATGGCTACAGTACTTTAAAAATGTTGTGTCTAGCCACTTTCTACTGTTGACACAGTCCATATCCAAACAGCATAGTGCTTTTTAAGTCTCAAGTACATGACAACAGTGACAAACCCATGGTGTGACATTTTCATTCTTTAATCATCACGCCTTTATAACAAAAATAAATGTAATAAAAGATCAGAACAGCAATAAATCATTGGGAGAAAAAATAAATGACTCCACTTTTAGTGCCTGGTAACCAGTTCTTTAGGGATTATCTCCTTCTTCAACCTGGAAAGGTACCAATAAACGTGAGGAAGCTCCTCATCCTGACTAATGCTTCAGAAAAGAAAAGCAGAGGAAAAGATACAGACCTTCTGTAATTCAATTAGCAGGCAGAACAGTCTCTCCCCACATGATTATGGACCTGTTGACTGCGAGAGCTAATAGTGTTTAATCCAGGATTTAACAGTTGTGAGAAATAGAAGGCCAGGCAGGACCCTTACCCTAACAATTTGTCTCACATTATTCCCAGGGTCCAGCAGAGTATGTGACTCAAATATTACAAAGGAAAATAATAGGTTGCATAAAAATTTGGTATGTCCATTAATATTCTTTAAATAGTAACTGATAACACAGGCAACAGTATAAAGGACAGTAAAATTACTTTACATTTTTTAGTAAGGCATTATTTCCAAATAAAACTAAGAAATAGTTCGACAAGGAGTATGTCTTCTGGGGAATCAAAATCTCACATTCTCAGTTTGTAAGAAACAATAATAAATACTATATATATCTGCTTTAATCCATAATCTATTTAAATTATTACACTATTCCTTTCAATTCAGAGGTATCTGAAGACGGGGATTTAACTGAGGGTTGGAAACTCAAGAAAAAATATTCTTGGCTTTAGTAGAGTATAAAATTATAAAAATGGTGAAAAAAATGCTTCAAAAGAAGTGAAAGCTTTTGGATTAGAACTACAAAGGGAGTGAAATGTTCTGATGCTGAAATAAGATGATGCCTCATTTTTAGAGGTCCTGTACAAACCTCAGTGAAGTGAAGAAACAAGAGGCCATGGCAACATTCCAACTCAGATTAAGCACCCAGAACAGTGATCTTTGTGTCACTTAATTTAAACACTGGAAATCTATGATACAAACCAACTTAAATACATCTTCAAGTTGCAAGTACTTGTATCATCCCCTTGCAATCTGATCCAGCTTCAGACTGCAGCTTTACTTCTCTTTAATGCAAGGGTGGGAGAGACTTTAATTCCAGGCCTGTCTGAAGCGACAGGAGTTTCAGACTGATGTGAATGTGCTGGGCCCCAGACTCCAGGCTGTGCCTGAAATGAGGTGGCCTTTCACCTCAGAAGAATGTGCATTGTGAATGTTAATTTCCTCTCCTCTATCTTATCATCTTGATAATAAAAATCAGATTGTCAGAAATTCACACTCAACACAGTAAATATTAACTCGAAAAATGTAAACATGTTCCTATCTGTTATAAAGACAAAGGTTCAGTCAGTTTACCAGAAAATATTTCCACATAGGAACAAATTTCTACTAATCATGCCTTTCAGAAGGAAACACCAAACAATTCTTCCCTTGATTTAGTGTTAAAAGAGGAAAGTTCCCAAAATTGAAGAAAAAATGCATGTTAAAAATTAAAAGGAAAATCTCCCTTTTAACCTAGTTTTCTTAGTTTATGTGAAAAAATACTTAAAGCAATACAATACAAATCCAATTTAAAAAAGTTCCAAAATAGCCACTACATATGGTAAGTAACAAGCAGGCATTTCAATGACAAAACTGAAAAGTTCAACCCCCAAGTGCTGTTAAATATATATTAATTTCTACTTGATTCAGTTTCACAACCCCAGTGATCTTGAAGATAACAAAGTCAATTTGTTCTGTAATGCCAGTAAGTTACATCTCAAAATGCAATTTACATCCCTGACAATACATGATTTTTGGAGTGTGGCCTAAGGAATGGCCAACTCATTTAATTAATTGGGTTTGGTCTTGAATCAGATTGATGACATTTTGTAGCTAATGGTAGGTGTTTTTCATATTCTATTCATACTCAATTACATCATTATGAAACAAAAACATTCATGAGTTGAAATTAGGCTAAGCAGAAGTATGAGATGAGGCAATATAGCACACCAATACCACCTAGTGAGCACTTAAAATTTTGAGAAACCTGAACCAGTGGAAGACAAAGAGTGGAAGAACAAAATATCAGGAAGAGAAGAAAATACTGCAGAGCTACCAGAAAGAAAACCAGAAACATGTAGAGATAATGCAAGGAAATATGGGAGTGTGACACCAGCTCCTCATGTCAGAGATTCCTGCGGTTCCCATTCCAGTAGTGCTCCACACCCACTCCTAGTCATCACACATCCAAAGGATGATACATTTTGACCAGTCTAAGCTCATCTATGCAACACAAACCTCCCACCCAAAAGAAGCAAAATAGGCATAACTGCAAGGGGTCACAGTAAGCCCTTCTTCCTCTGTGCTTTACAAGAAGAAAGAGGTGGAGAAAAACAGGCATTTACTCTCTTGGCCCTATTACTTCATCTGCAGGATTAAGTCTTATCACTTCTGTTCTATTGGGTCACTTCAACCCCATGTGGCACTACAGGTTTGGGGAAGAGTGGCTGGAAGCTGCCCAATGGAAAAGAACCTGGGGGTCCCGGTCGACACCGGCTGAACACGAGCCAGTGTGAGCCCAGGTGGCCAAGAAGGACCATGGCATCCTGACTTGGATCAGCAATAGTGTGACCAGCAGGAGTGGGGCAGGGATCATGTCTCTGTACTCAGTGCTGGTGAGGCTGCATCTCGAATCCTGTTTCCAGTTCTGGGCCCCTCACTGCAAAAAACATATTGAGGAGCTGGAGCACCTCCAGAGAAGGGCAAAAAAGCTGGAGAAGGATCTGGACCACAAGTCTAATGAGGAGCAGCTGAGGGAGCTGGGAGTGTTTCGCCTGGAGAAAAGGAGGCTCAGGGAGATCCTTATCACTCTCTACAACTACCTGAAAGATGATTGTAGCGAGGTGGGAGTCAGTGTCTTCTCCCAACTAACAGGTGACAGGACAAGAAGAAAGGGCCTCAAGTTGTGCCAGGGGAAGTTTAGATTGGATATTAAAAACATTTCTTCACTGAAAGGGTTGTGCTAGCTGGCTGTGCTAGGTAGGTGCTGGTGCTACCTTAGTGCAAATCCAGGACACGTTGCATATCTCGGGATGTATCTAAAGAACTGATCATTGTATAGCAAATGCCTTGGTATCTCAACTTTAAGTGGAGCTAGCAGGAAATTCTTTCAGATGTACCACAGTTAAGGAGTCAGCAGCAGATTGTTTTTTCCATCATTTCTTTTTTTAAAGCCTATTTTATGTTTTGACTGAGAGCTGAAAGTTCAAAACAGTGCTCTAAAAGACATTGCAAAAAGTAATTTTCTTGTGGTTACTGAACTTTCTGAACAGAGACTTGCATTAAAATATTTCTATCCTCTGAAAAATTCACATGACCAAATTGCTTCTTCTGAACACTTCTTAACACCACTGCTTGTACCTTCAGCCTGGAGTTATTGAACAAAGACATAGCAGCTGTGTCCTGCTGATTCAGCTTCTTTGGTATATATACATCCATTTTAAGCATTCAGAAATACAGCGGTGTCTGAAATTTTTATTTATTCCCTCATAGCAGTACACAGTGCCTTAAAACCAGAAACTTGAGCCTCACAATCATGCTAGATGCTCTTAGTGATGCAGAAGGACTACAAAATAGGGTTAAATTATCTATACGATTTACTTGATTTTCAGTGGCTAAAACAGAGATTTAGAATTTGTTACTGAAGCCCAAAACCACATCCAAGTCCAGAATGGTTATGTCAGTAGGTAGCACATCTCAGAGAAAACCAAGTATTTCCATGTAATAACTTATTTATTTAGCAGGCTATTTGATTCTTACACAGAAGAGATAGATTGGCATTTTCTGTCTGTTGAGTGAGACTGCCCTACGCCTTTCTCTGAGAAAAACTGAAAACAGCAAAACAGGGAAATTTTGTCAAAAATAGAGAAGACATCACCTTTTCATGTGGACGATATATTCAAAACTGGCTACACTTTCCAGGGATCCAAACACAGCCTGACACATTGAATGCTATTTATAAGGATGACACAGGCTGTCCTTGAGAGAATCAACTCTCAGTAAGAGAGTCCAGGCTGTAAATATAAAAAAGACATTTAAGAGTTACTTCCAGAAATTTAATTCCTTTCACCAAAATGCAGCTCTAGAAGGAAACATAAAAGGTAAATGTAGAAGACAGACTATCTAAAGAGTATGAAGAACTGAAGGGAAAAAAAAAATCCAACCCTAATATTTTGATCCCATAATAAAATTCAGTCTTCCTTCTCAGGGTTGTGTATGCTATAAATTCAAAATATACTAGAAAAAGTTGCTAGACCAAAGAGGGGGAAAGGAAATTAAGAGGAAGGATCTAAATAGCAGACAAAAAAATTTATTCTGGCATTTCTGAGTACAGTCAAGCTTGATTTTATGCTCTAGAAAATATTTATTTGTTGGGGTTTTTGTTTAAGTAGCTCTCTCTATAACTTATGAAAGCTGAAATTCCATTATGTGGCATTCTGCAACATTCTCCAGCCTATCAGCAAGGAAGACACCTTGAGATCCACCACTCAGATCTCAGCTGCCTAAGCTAATGCAGTAATCAGTAGCAGTAATATTTACCAGCTTTGTGGGTGGACATGGAGTAACAAGTCAGTTGCTTTATAAGTGGCTTTACAAATATTTGTCAACAGCAGAAGACTGGTAAGATTTGGGAATCTTGATTCTGCGTGGATGTCCTTAAAACAGGACTCTGTTGGGCTTGCTCTGGCCAGCTGCCATTCCTATCCATGGTGTTCCAATGCAGTCTGACCTTCCCTGGTTACCAGGACATTTGCTGCCTCCTGACATTCTTATTTAACACCAACTGCTCATCACCTTGAGAAATCAGAAGCAGATTTGTTAAAGGAAATTCAAGGAGATTCTGCCATTGACTGCAGATCAAGGCTTGACCACTCATCTCTCTGAAGAAGTCTGAGCACTGCCCTTTAGCAGTGGCATATGTGAGGGGATGGAAAAGGCTCAGTGAAGACAGTCTGGCTATTTTAGCTGCTTAGTAGAACCATGTCACTTCTCAGTATGCACACATCAATAGACTTCAACCCCCCAAATCATAACTCACCTCATTCAGGTGTATTCTCATAAGCACATCACAAAACATAACAGCCCTTGACAAACAGATTTCCCCCAAAATTTTTAAATCTCTCTTTTTAAGAGAACACTAAAGCCATTCAAGAAAACACCAAGAATTTCTTTGATATGAAGAAATAAATCAGTTTTCCATGAAACATGAACTAGCCTCTCAGTATTTTTTACATTAAAAATTTAAAATAATAACTTTTGCTAAACCCTCCTAAGCATTCAGTTTCAAGGATGAAACTGGTTGGATAGTTAGTTGTGGCTCATTCATTAGTCACATGGTTTTATTCCCACAGGATCACACACACAGCAAAAGCAGCTCTGTGTTCTGATCCCCCTAGTCCTATACCCTCCCTTTCACCAGAAGAGCATGTTGGGCTGGGAGCAACAGGACTGGGAGTCTGTCAGACAGGAAGAAATAAGAAACAGCTCAGCCACATGTGTACGTGCAGGGGATGCTTCTCTGCCAGAAGCAGATGGTAGTTTTAAACAGTGGGTGTTGGAACAGTATAATGAACTTTATCTACAGAAATAATTAAATAATAATAAATATTGACATAGCTATGAAGTAAATCTCTTACATGCAAGCCATATGTATTAGATTCACGGGTAATCAGGGAGCAGTTCTTATTGTTCTTTCATTTATTCTAGATTTTCACACATTTTTAATTCCTCAGATTTCTCAGCATTATAATAAAGACCTGCACACAACTTGGTTTCAGAAACTATCTTCATAGCCAATGCCTAAATTAAGCTTGTACATATAACTCTGCAAGATTGAGTTAAATAATGATAACGGGTTTTTTGCAAGTATAAACCTACTGAAGTGTGAAACTGTGCTCACAGCATTGCAAACAGAAGTTGTCAAATGAAATGATCATTTGCTCTTTGCACGTAACTAATTGTTCCGCATTTAATTTGTGATTTTTTTCTTTCTTTCAGAACAACCATTTTTCTGACTTGCTGGACAAAAAAACTGGTTATAAAACAGTCAATATGTTGGCAACTCCAATTACACAGGGTAAAGAGGTGCTTGCTGTTCTGATGGCACTCAACAAATTAAATGCCCCTGAGTTCTCAAAAGAGGATGAAGAGGTAATAACATTAAATGACACACAACGATATAGCTGTTAGTTCAATTAGTAGTTTGAGTGATTCTATCCCTTGGTTTGATACTTTAGTCTTATTTTTGCTCTTTATCATTTTTAGGTATTTAAAAAATACCTCAATTTTGTGTCTTTGGTCATAAGAAATCATCACACATCGTATCTCTACAATATCGAATCACGAAGAAGTCAGGTATAGAAGAATTTTTTAATGATAATATTTAATTTTTGTGTGAAACCATTATTATTCCCACTATTTTATATTCTTGCATGCTTACTGAAGTAAGGATACCATCTATTTATTTTTTCATATGATAACAGTAAGGCACCTTATCATTTTGTTCTGGAATGCCTAGGATGCATGTGTTTCCCACTGTTATGAATATTTACCCTTTTTCTCTTTTGTAAATAGATGCTTTTGTGGTCTGCCAACAAAGTATTTGAAGAGCTAACAGACATAGAACGGCAGTTTCACAAAGCACTGTACACTATTCGAATGTATCTGAATTGTGAAAGATACTCCATTGGTCTGCTGGACATGACTAAAGAGAAGGTAACAACTATTTTGCCTACTTGCTAGAAATGTCCTACTCCTAACCTTAAGTCTCAAAGATACAAAGTTACCATCCTTTCTAGCCCTTTGGGATAATTTACATATAAATTTAACCATGTTACAAAGATTACATGTGAAATATAAGCACGGCAAAGGATACAATCATGATAAACCTGAAGGCTAATTTTGAAATAATTTTTCATACTAATAATTCCATATGAGAAAGGGTAGAAGAGGGAAGTCCAGGTCTGAAATACCTGCCTTCTAAAACAATAATTAAGCTGTACAACTGTCTAGAGATAAGATTCAGATTAGCCTGTAATTTACTGGTAAACATTGCCTGGATTATAATGAACAATGTTTTCTTAATATTGTCTGAAATGTGACCATAGTAAACTATGGAGAAATAAAAAAACAAAATTGCAATCCACAGATGTGATGTTATCTTTGAACACAGAACTGGTTTGGTTTTTTTCTTTTGCTAAACCCTGTGCATCATTTTCCAGGAGTTCTATGATGAGTGGCCAATCCGGCTGGGGGAGGCAGAGCCATACAAAGGCCCCAAGACACCTGATGGACGAGTAAGGATATTAATTTTTCTTTTTATGAATCTTAAGTTTGACATTGAGGTTGTACAGGTCACCTACATGTTTTTCTCTTTTCTTTTAGGAAGTTAACTTTTATAAGATTATTGACTATCTTTTACATGGACAAGAAGAAATCAAAGTCATTCCGTGAGTATTCATTGGCACCCTGCAAATGTGTGGTAATTAGATATATTGCTGGGATAGAATAACATGTCTATATTGTAGAAATAATTTAATTTCATTGTCTCTCTAAAGGTCACCTCCAGCAGATCACTGGTGTCTTATCAGTGGATTGCCAACATATGTTGCTGAAAATGGACTTGTAAGTTCATAACAATAGTAAAATCTAGAAGTTTAAGTTCATACAGTTGTTCTGATTGAACAAAAAAAAACAATCCCAAACCTCCCCATGACCAAAATCCTCTACAAAAATACCATGCTGTTCCAGTGTCATTGGTTCCTAGTGAAACCATGTGAATCAGTAGTCTGGATGGAGACAAGGCCTCAGCACAAATGGCCAAAACATCTGGAAAATTTTCCTCTGATTATGGTGATATCAGAGGAATAATGTGTGCATCTGATGTCACTTTCCAGGTGTGCTAAGTCTCATAAAAAAATGTCAAAGTAACAAACCCATCACATACAAAGTTTTAAAATTTTCTTTTTTTTTCTTAAATCTTCTTGTGTAGACAATATAAGTAATTCAAAGTCATGGTGTGTGATAGCTATTAGTAACCCTATGGTATGTTTAATAGAGCCTTTAGAACTCAATTATTTCATTCTAGAAACCCCCATGCCATTTTAAACTGGAAGTCATTTTCTTAATCATTATGCTTTTGCACTGTGAGACATCCTACATGAGGGAGTTTGCTACAAACACTCCAGAATGATGTCTGGTAGAATAACCACATCTAATTTAATGGGAACAAAGTTTTAAAACTAAGTTTTAATTTCTCTAGCTGGCTGGGATGTTTACTGTTCCTAGCTTAGAAAATAAACATGCCTTTTTAAAATATTAGGCTAAGGCTTGATACCCATTATATTCTATTTAAACAATGGCTCATTTTCTTTATGTTGCAGATTTGTAACATGATGAATGCACCAGAAGATGAATATTTCACATTTCAGGTAATTTCAGTAATGTTAATAATTATAGATATATAATTAATTATAGTTATATATTTATACATATATATTTATTATATTATATATAATATAATTAATTATATCTATATTCTACAATATAGATATTGTAGACAAATATGCTAATGTTTGCCACTAATTAGTTATACAGTTGATTACATAAATAATTTCTCCTTTGTGATGCATGGATCTTGTTGTTGCATTGCTTATATCAATAGCTGTGTTATTACTTTCAAAGAAATACACATTTCCTGGGTTTTGGCTTTCCTACAGAAAGGACCAGTGGATGAGTCCGGATGGGTTGTCAAAAATGTCCTGTCATTGCCTATTGTCAACAAAAAAGAAGAAATTGTGGGAGTTGCAACATTTTACAACAGGAAAGATGGAAAGCCTTTTGATGAGTATGATGAACAGATCATTGAAGTAAGCTTAATAGGATTAGAGGGTTTAAGGAGCATGTAATGTTAATAAAAAATACTATAGTAAAAAGTAATTTTAAATGTCTGAAAATTTCCAAATAGGCTGTATTAACATCTAGACAAATGTCTATCTGCTTCACCATACAGTTTCTTAAGAATCAGAGATTTTATTTGCCTATATAAAACCAAAAAATTATGAGCGATCATTTACATGCCAGTAACGAAAAGAAGTCACACAAAATTCTATTTTCAATCATTTGACTATTTAGTCATGGTCACCACGGGTAAGCAGAATGGCATGCTTCTTGCCAATGGATATTGAGCCTGTGATCATGGGAGTTCACATAATATCCACGATCATATGTACTCAGGCAAGATAAGATGCTACACAGTGTATCCAAGTCCACTCACCTGACTTAAGCTTCATAAGCCTCAAAGTCTGCTATATAAAGTGGGAATATGGGGCCTTAATTACTAGGCTGAGATAAACAACCTCATTAAAAGCTATGAGTACTTAGAGAACCAGTTGATGGAAGATAAAGGCCTCTAACAAATAGAATGGCACATTGTTTTTCAAAGGGTGTTATCAGAAACTGGACCCTAAGAAAAGTAAGTTCAAATTGTTCATTTTATTGTCCTGGCATCATCTCTGCTTTGTTTGGCTTTGTTCTAGACTCTCACACAGTTCCTAGGGTGGTCTGTTTTAAATACTGACACTTATGACAAAATGAACAAGCTTGAAAACAGGAAAGACATTGCTCAGGAAATGCTTATGTACCAGACAAAGGCCACTCCTGCTGAAGTTGAATCTATCCTGGTAAGTTTCTGTACACAACCACAAAATTAAAGTGGGAAATTTGCTACACAAACACTTAATTTTCTTACCCTTTTTCATTTTTAGAAATACAAGGAGAAATTAAATGTAAATAGTTTGGATGAATGTGACCAAAAGGATCTCGTCAGGATTTTGGTAAGTCATTAAACTGAAAATTCTGGTGATGTATTTCTGTCAGACAGTAATGTGTCCTCATCGTAGAAAAAGCTGCATATAGCCAAATCCTGATTAATACAATTGACATTAGCTATCAGTGCCACAGGCTAGATGGAGCTTATTTAGTAATACATGGTCAGTCTCTACTGTCCCTGTATGTGAGACCCCACCGTTACCTACAGGGAAACATTCTGTCCCAAACATACATCAACAGACTTGGATAGTCAAGGCCATATAAAGAAGTGTTTATATGAATTAACATTTAAAGTGCTTAACCTTTTAAAATATCCATGGAGACAATGCTACATCTGTAATTGAATTTAATTTATTTAATTTTGAAAATAAAAGAAAGGATATTGAAGTGAGGCCACTTTCATTCTCAGTAAGAGTATGTAGGGGTAATATAGGAGTGTCAGTAGAACAAACCTACTTTCAGATTAATTTTCCTGCATTTCCTTAGGCGGAGAAGTCCAAAGACAGTGATCTGTGACTTCACAGTGACAAAACAGATTTGACCTAATCAGGTCTCTGTTCTACTACTCTGGTAACACTAAAACAAAAATGAGTCATTTCTTTTCCAGACTGTGCAGTTCTCTGGTTGCCTTAGTATTTCAACCTAGAAAGGAAGTGCCTTTTTGAAAGAAAACTCCCCATTTTTCCCATTTAGTGCACTTCTTTTCTTGTGCAGCAGTCCTGGAGCACATTCACTGGCCTATTTTATCTGAAAAAAAACCTCAAAGATGTGCTCCAGGAAAACACTGAATGAACTTCCACTGTTAATAGATCAAAACAGAGCTAGGCTGAAGAAAAAAGGTCAAATATACACAAATCTGTTGATTTCCTGTACCAACCACTTCACATATTTCCTACTATTACACCACATTTGCTGAGGTACACGTAGCCATAGGGAAAAGACCTCTTGAAACTATTTTTAGCTATGTACATGTGCATGCTGGAATGCATTGGTGTTAATGTTTTACTGGCTTCTACAAAACAGATGCTCAGACAGCTTGCAAGTGGTGAAACAAAAAAATATCAACAGATCATGTGTAGCCTCACATACCTGCTAAAGGAAATTTATTTTGGTTGCATGCAAAACTGCAAAAAACAATAGATAAACATTATAAAATTTCTCTACTGGTACAGCAAAACCTGAGTATTATGGTAAAGGCTCTAAATGTGAAAACATAATATTGGTATGATTTTAATCTCCAAAAAGCAATTAAAGTGGGTTCTCTCAACATTGTGAAGTCACAAATTCAAAGGTCTAATATCATCTGCACTTCCAAGGCTACATGCATATGCTTTATCCTATTATAAGACCTGGAGTCCCAGATACCTAATGAGATAAAGCAGGTGTTTCTAGATCTGATGATTCACAAAGTAATGGGTCTTAAACCATCACTCGTCTAGGTTTCTTTGCCCTTGATCTCTGATTTGCGTAGATATAAAGGAAAAACCCAGGGAGAAGGAAATGGATGTTTAGCCTTATTTTTAAAATACATGCATACATTCAGTCATCTTTTTTCCTTATCCAAAAAGTAGAGGTCATTTATAGACTGCTATGGAGGAAGGCAGTCATTGTAATAATATAATCTACTCTTAGTGTTGCATCAGACTTCCTTCAGTTAATTCTTGTTTGGATTGGAGCACATTCTTTAAAATATGATACTGCTCCCCCTAGGCTTTGGGATACACAGATGAAGAGTGCTATAGAAGAGTTCACAAGTGGTGCTGGGTTTCTTAACTTTGGTATCTTCTGCATTTTAGAATTTAGTATATGTTTTATGGAGGTGATCAGTACAAGCTGGACAAAACTCTGTGTCTGCCCTTCAGAGAGAGAAAAATCTCGGAATGGCAACCAGACAACTTCTAATGAAATTTAGTACGTGGGGCAAAGGTTATGTACTTACACAGTCTACTACTTCTGGAATGATCCCTCATTTTCTTCAGTGGTCAGACTGTTCAGAACGGACTGCTGTAAACTACAGAAAGGCAGAATCACCAGCAACTACAGCACTAGAAAGTAAATTACTTGGAAGGGATTAAAATAAACCATAATAACAATACAAACTATATGCTTGGTACATTTAAGAATTGTAACAATTTTTACTTTGTGCATACACTGAGATCATTCAATAGTGAAGCAGTCAAGAATCTACTACCTCAGACAAATGAAAACATAAATAAGATTTGTGAGTTTTTAAATCTGATCTTGTAGGATTTTCCAGTCCACTTTCGATTTGTCTATTAAGTATATATAGACTAGTACAAAGAGAGACTATCACAGAAGAAAAGGTAGGACAGACCTATTTTGAGGGCTGGTTACGGAGCAGAAGCAAACAGCTAGCACTCCAGAAGTCAAATAATGTACAGGAATCTTTGCTTGCCTATAGTGTCTCCAAGAGAAGACAAAGCTATGGGTAGGCAGGCATGCAAGGAAACTTTCTGGTAAAAACAAAATGTTGTTGCTATGCTTTATTCAACTGTAATAGTAAAAAATGTTTTGGTCTAGACATGTTGGTTTTGGTTACTATATGCTTCACTATTCATAAGATCCAAAAAGGAAGAACACTCAGTGAGAACAATTTTGGTTGTGAAAAAGATGAACTGTACCCTTGAGATCAGGCTAAAAGTGTGAGAATCATTGGATTTTATACCAGGAAGGAGAATTTCCAAGGCTCGAGGTTTCTAAACTAAGGAAATGTTGAGATGGCCAAAACAAATTGTGTTGGAATTCAGAGTAGGAAGAATCTGTCCAAGGCTTTTATTTATTGTCTTTGAGAAGAAACCCAGCAGTATCACAACTGTGTTTCATGACTTAATACATATTAGTTTGTACTGACACCTGAGGCCTTTGAAGACACAGTAAGCACACTTTCCTTGAGCAATATTTCTACTGAAGAAAATGAAAAAAAAAAGCTTTTCCAACTTTGTTCTTGCCAGAAAACCCCTTGTTTTTGATTTTTCCTAACAGAAAGAAGAATTACCTGATCCAAAAGATTTAGAACTGTATGAATTTCGCTTCAGTGACTTTCCTGTTACAGAGCATGGCCTGATAACTTGTGGAATACGACTGTTCTTTGAGATAAATGTTGTTGAAAAGTTCAAAGTCCCAGCTGAGGTTTAGTTTATTTTTTCCTGTTTATATTTATTTTTAAATAGCTGATTTTAGGTACTTTAATCTAGAAGTAGATAATACTAAAATATTAGCAGTATGGTTAACAACCTTCCATTTTTAATGAAACATTTACATATTTGTCATAAAAACATAAAACTAATCTTGAATTGTGTGAGCTATATAGGGGATTAAATCAACATGCATTTCTGTAAGAACAATTTGCTGTTTCAATGTTTAATTCAATGAAAAGCATTTATTTTCAAAGAACTGGCACATTATTACAGTAAATTCATAGTATATTCCAGTAATTTTATAGGAATTCCATTGTTTTGTTTCAATTAGCAGCACAGTCTTAATCACTTTTGTTCCTAATAGGTTCTTACAAGATGGATGTACACAGTCAGGAAGGGTTATCGAGATATCACTTACCATAACTGGAGACATGGATTCAATGTGGGACAAACAATGTTTACTCTACTGATGGTAATGTTGCTAATATTAACCTTACATTCATTATTTAGTTTTCTTTCAATTCCAAATGGGAAACTCAGGAAGAGATACACTTGGAATTATCTGTTTTCTTTTACAGACAGGCAAAATAAAGAAATACTATACTGATCTAGAAGCCTTTGCCATGGTTGCTGCTGCTTTCTGCCATGACATTGATCACAGAGGGACCAATAACTTGTATCAAATGAAGTAAGTACAAATGCTCAAAAACATGGTAATGTACTGTTTTTAGTGACAAATGAAAAAAAATAATGTCAAAACTTGCAAAAATATAAGGTATATATTCCATATTCATCTGGCATGAATAAATAATTATGCTACAGAAGGTTTCTGTTTCAGAGCACTTCAGACAGCTGAAACACAAAGACAAAATGCAAAAGCAGAATCTTAGAAGGGTCACCTGATGCTGCATTTTTAAGAAACGCTAGCAATGCATGGATTGTAGTAGACAAAACTTCGTGCACGAGGCCACAAAGAAATGAGAAAGGGCATTTTGTCTTTTTCAAGACAAAGGGGCATAAGCACTTTTCTGGAGAGGGATGAAGGATGTGACATAGACAAGGGCCAGTTTAGAGTAAGACGGGATTTTTCCTCTCTTTTCCACTGCCTAATATGACTAGCTCAGTTGTTCCTTCTCACACTCAGTTTCCTGACTGATGTAGCTCCTCTCCTGAGGTGTAACCTCCTCATGTTATACAGGATTCTGAGCTAACAAGTTTGAGTTTACCACTGAGTCCACATGCCCAGTTACACATCAGGAGGTTCAGCTTTGCAGTTCATGCTCCCTCTTGTTCTGACAAAATATTCTAAAGGATTTCTTTGCGGTTTCTATCTTGTTTGTTATGAAACAATATGAATTAGCAGATGCTTGTTATAAAACGATATTAATTCATTTTAAATTTACCTTTGTATTACAACAATACATATCATGGTGAGACTCACTCTTGTCTTGAAGAGTGAAGAATCGACCATTTAGTCTCTTACATGATCTGTGAGGGCTTGTTTCTAAGTGCTAGCCAGAGAACACACGTTTCTCAAAATGTCACGTGTACCAGAAGATTATAATTTTCTGACTACAGTTTCCACCAGCTATGTCTCCAGAATGATTTATCCTCCCCCTCTGACCCTGAATACACTCCTCACAGGAGAGGCATTTCAGCCTCTGTGCTAGAACAGTGACGCAGGGGGATTTTCCGATTATTCCCAGGGATTCTCCAGGTGACGTAGGAGAGAGAGAATGACAGACATTGATTCTTATCCAGTGGACTGCCTCTCATCCAAACAAGTTTAAGGTGGGGTTTAAATCCTCCTACTGTGGTCTTCCCTAGCTGAAAGCCCTCTACGTGAGGTCATACGCAGTAAAGCTATTTATAAAACTCATTAGGCTTTACCACAACAGTCTTAATCACATCAGAAAATATACGTATGATGTAGCCCATCCGGGGTTATCTGAGGAATACAGCTATTAGCTGAGGGAAGAAAGGAGGAAAATACAGTTCTAAACATGCAGAACCACCTGGAGCCCTTGTAGGCAGGATACTTCTCCCTTCATTCCACCATCATAGTCTGACACAGAATTTCCTCTGCTTGAAGCTTAGTCCAATGTCAGGGGAACGCTTTTAGTTTTGTGATAAGACTGAACACACCTAAGCTGTCAGGACTTGTGTGGTCCATAAAATGGTGGGTTTGGGGGGAGGGGAGAAGCCCAAGGGCATTAGAGGACTTAAACTCCATTATACTGTTATTTCAGATTGAACTTAGAGTTAACTAGAATCCCAGGGAACATGACCCAGTCATTACAGATATATGAGAGTTCAAAAGCCATACCACAAAATAAACACTAAAGGATGGATAAAAACTATTTTTAAGGTACACAGGATTGGCATAGACTGTACAAACAGCAAAACTGAACATGCAAGACAAAATAGAGGCATATATTAAATAACACAGCTTTTGCGTTTTGAAGTATCTAACAACACCTTTGACTTTAGTGGGCACTGAACACCCAGTGCTCTCCAATTTCCATCATCACTCATTCACAAAAATGAAGGCAAGCAAGTTGGATTTTTTCCTCTGTGTCATACCAATGATTAATGTATACAGATTAAACTATTGAACATGGAGATCAGAAGCATTTTAACCCTAAATACATGAAACCTGAATAAAAACTATTGTCTTCAAAATAATATAAATAATTGCCTATTTTTCAACAGGTCAGCTGCTCCACTGGCAAAACTTCATGGCTCTTCCATTTTAGAAAGGCATCATCTAGAGTACAGTAAAACCCTGCTGCAAGATGAGGTACGTCATGGACATTCTGCTTACTACGATCAACACAAAAGATCCAATTAGGTCATAGTGTTCCAAATTTCACTGGGTCTCATTCATTCCTCTATCTTCAGATCAAGAAATTATGCTAAAATTCAGAAGTTTAAGCCAAATTCTTACACATTTTCCACTTTTAGAGAAATATCAGTAATTCCACCAGAAACAGACTCACTTCAGATAGAAAAGCTTTTCCTCTGGGCCTTACTCACGTGCCTCAGAGTTTTTTCCATTTTCACAAAACAGCTGATATTGAAACCAAAGCAGAAAATACAATACATACATGACAACCACATGTTGTCATTAAACCGCTGTGCCTGAACAGAGAACCCAGTTCAGCTTCGGGCTCTGGCAGCTGAGGAACAAAGGGATGGAGCTGTTTATGGAGGGCCCCCCTGCTGCCAGGCCAGACCCACCCCACACCTTTACCTTGCTAAACAGAGAAGGGGTCTCATGAGGCTCTGCTGCAGCTCCCATTACTGATCTTCCTGCACCAGGCAGCCGCCCGCAGTTGCCCTTCCCCAGCCGCTGCCGAGGTGATGCTCCCCACTGCAGTGTCCCCAGGCCCAGCTGCCCCACAGGCCCTTCTCCTCCACCGGGGATCGGCCTTCCAGCCCTCCGCAGCGCCAGGCTCTGGCTGCAGCAAGGGAGACAATTTACACTCTTTACTCTGTATTTTCCACGGAAATAAGCGATTTAAAGCAAGATGTGCATGCATGCACCCCTTCCATCCCTTGTTTACAGCAGCATGGCAGGCACCCACTTCCACCCTCATTTTCCACTTCTAATCCCTGTGGTGATGCTGTTGCCTGACCTCATGAGGTCATGGAATAAATCCTTATGCTAAGCATTTGTTCGTTGAAAACAAAGAAACAAAACACCTTTACCTTTATTGATGTCAATGTACTTTTTCAAATGTGAGATGCTGGGGACTAACTCCTGCTCTTGGCCAGAGCAGTTGTCAGGACCTCCGGAGGCTCTCACCAGCAGCATCTTCTGTTAAAGAAAGAAATAAAGCCAGGACACCCAGAAAACTGCTGAGTGTGACGGTCTCATTCCCTTTGCCTGAGGAAAAGTGCATTGCATTTACCATGGTAGGCCCCTAACACCACTGCAGGCAATAGTACCAATCCAGGTTAACAGGGGGAAAAGGTCTCTACTGGAAAGCTTTAAAAATTCTAGGATTATTAGATTTACGGAGTGTGAATTTTTAATTTGTAGCATTATTTTAATTTAGGGACTGTAGTTGGCCAATTTCATTATACTATGCTGCGAGAACCTGTATAGTACAAACCAAAGACAGTGTTATAAAAGGAATTGAATTCATAAACTTTCCACCTTGCAGAGTTTAAACATCTTCCAGAACCTAAATAAGCGCCAGTTTGAAACCGTCCTACACTTATTTGAAGTTGCAATAATAGCAACTGACTTGGCTTTGTATTTCAAGTAAGTACTAAATTCTGTATAATTTTGTACTGAAAAGAAGTCAATCCTATAGAATGTATAACTGTAATTTTTAAATGTTTATATGCATAGAACTTTACTTAAAATTGTTATTAAGTCTAATTATTGTAAAAACCAAGACATTCTTAGATTTATTATAAACTTACAAATTAGAGAATACATAAACATACACAATATTTCATATAAATTCAGTAGTATAAATTCATTGCAATATGCTTTAGTTACAACAAACACTATTCCTGAAGTGTGGATTCGGAAGCCTAATCATAACGTTGTGCCCATATGTGATATTTAGCATACCATACAGTAAATACTCACACTAAACAAGAGGATGCTGAAAATGAACATGCTGGTTTACAAAAACCCTATGGACATCAAATGATGTGCTAAATATGCCAAAGAGTCCAAATATCAAATCATCCATTCTGTTCCTAAGTTAGTGACTTGATGTGCTTTTATAATGAGTATTTTCTTTAAAGATATATGGAGCCTTTTGTTTTATGATTGGGACAATTTAAAGACAGAAGACAGGAAAAAATTCAGAAAGTTGTTTAATAGCAGTTATTAAATTTTAAATAACAGTAATTCCATTTTTTCATTGATTCTAAACAAAAATCAGAAGATTTATTACGGAATACCAAGACACTTTTTATGTTTTTGAAATTTCTTCTTAGTCAGGTCTTAGCAATTCTTTGGATTTTTGATGGGAGGAAGTGAAAGAATATTTATTAGTATTTGCTTCACTTTTCCCAGTTCAGTATGGTACAGAAATGCACATTTAATACTAAAGAAATGAGAATGCCACCCCAGTTTAATATAAAGAGGTAGGAAATTGGTTATTTGTTTCTTTGTCAGAATTCTGACACATTACTTTACATGTCAGTAGTATACAGCAAAATCTAAATGTCTAGGTTACCTGAAAAGTTTGAGTTCAACAGGAGGGTTTCACTTTGATACTACTATGACTAGGATGCTAGTTTGGAAAAGCACAAATATAGTAAATATGGTTTTCTATTTAGTTATTAATATAGTGACTTATGTTCTCTAATATATGTTCTATTGGTATGTTTTAACAGGAAAAGAACTATGTTCCAAAAGATTGTGGATGCAATTGAAAAAATGGAAACAGAAGAGCAGGCAATTAAGTATATATCTATTGACCCAACAAAAAAAGAAGTCATCATGTAGGTGGTTAATATTTTACTCTTTATTCAACCAGTTATCTAGAACTAGATTTTAAAAGAATTTGGGCTCCTAAATATGCAAATTAAGACTTGATGTTATTGTCCAATGACAAGCATAACCATGATTTTAAAATAGATGTCTACAATCTTCTCAAAATGTGCATCCATCTGCATCTTAGGTATCTAAATTCATTTTAAAATCCAGACTTTTTTTTTTTTTTTTAATAATCATCCTAACTATTCACAGAATAGTTAGGTTTGGCAGGGACATCTGCATTTAGTCCAATTCCCCTGCCACGGCAGGGTCACCTAAAACACGTTACACAGGAACATGTTAAGGTGGGGTTTGAACGTCTCCAAAAAGGGAGAATCCACGACTTCCCTGGGCAGCCTGTTCCAGTGCTCTGCCACCCTCAATGTATATTTGTTCTCCCTCATGTTGAGATGGAATTTCTTGTGTTTTAGTTTATGGCCATTGCTTCTCATCCTGTCACCGGGCAGCACAGAAAAGAGCCTGACACCATCCTCTTGACACCAAAAACGACACTCATTTTGGTTTTTTTGTTTTCAAAGGGCTATGATGATGACTGGATGTGACCTGTCTGCAATAACCAAGCCTTGGGAAGTGCAGAGTAAGGTAAGTACTTTTGAAATAGACAATACTGGATTTACTCTCTGTTTTACTGCCCATCTGTTGTACAATCAGTCAAAAAAAAAAATAATTTAATATCCGTTGATATATATTTAAGTACCTGTTGCTTTCAGAAAAGAACCTCTATCTTTGTCACTGTGAGTGTAGGTGTTCCATGATGTCTCTCCTCAACCACTTCACAGGCTGCCAATCTTTCTCTACTTGTCCTTCCTCTAAAACTGGTATCCCAAATTCTGGCAGCTGTATTTTTGTGCTATACAACTTTTACTACCCTCCAGCTATTTTTAAGGTACAGATTTAACAACAGTATGGTTTGAATTGTGTCTGTTCTGTAGATCTCGGTGCCATTGCTAAGCCATAGCTTAAACATGTTAAAAATAAATTCTGCAATACAGAATGGTACATAAGTACTTCAAGTACTCCAGTACTTATCAACCATCCTGCTGAAGCACATCACTTAGGCTTACAGGAAGGAATATGTTTTAAGAATGCATAATCAAAATACAACTGTAGGATGCTTGTGGAGTCTTCTTAAGTTCTATACATTGCAGTACTACAGGACTGTTATGTTGCTAATATTGCCTTGTTCCCATTGACAATAATCTATCATTTACTCAGCATGCATCAGGATATTATTAATTTGCTGGAAAAAGCCTTCAGTACAGCAGATAGTACTGCTGAAAAAAATTGACAGGTTTTTTTCCCCCATTTTCTGGAAAGCCTTGTTCTTTTATTTATTTAAATTTACTGCTTTCTGCTGATAATTCCACTCAATTGTGATTATTCAGGTTGCCCTCATGGTTGCAAACGAATTCTGGGAGCAAGGCGACCTGGAACGAACTGTGCTACAGCAACAACCTATTGTAAGTACTAAATAATTTAACTGTGTTAAGCAATATTAACTGTCATTAAAACATCTATGATGCTTACTAGATCATGATACCAAAAAGCATGATATCTACGTATTCTAAATTACTGCTCTTCTGTTCTAGCCTATGATGGACAGAAACAAAGGAGATGAACTACCTAAGCTCCAAGTTGGTTTCATAGATTTTGTGTGTACATTTGTGTACAAGGTAAGAGTGACTGGTTTTGTTTTCCTACTGCAGCAGTTTTGATGGCACAATTAGTACAAGCTGTTGCAGTTAAAAAATTCTAGACAGCAGCGGGACTCTTGGTCACAGGGTGAACAACCATCACAACTGTCATAATTTTTCAAAGATTTCAAATTTTCAAAGAATTGCTTCCACAGAGCAAACGCAAGAGATGTGAAGCAAATTCATATAAAGGGAAGATACCAGTGAAACTTGAAGGTGCTGAGGTTTTGTTATTACCCTGAACGGCTGAGTTACAAAGTCCAGCTTGATTTTTCACAGTCCCATTTAATATAAGCAAACAACATGCGGATGGTTACAGAAAGCAGTTAATGGCACAGCAAAGGGAACAGAAAACTCGAAATACTCTGGATGTATAGATATTCTGTACCTTCTATAAGGCATTGAAATGTCAACATTATTAATCCTTGTCTAGTTTTTTATATTATCCCAAAGAGTCATGCAGAAAAGTGACATGTAATATTTTAACATCTTCAGATATATCCTCATCTGCTTGAAATATACTACAGGATAACAGACTTTTTTATTTTTTCCTGATAATTATACAATAAAATATCATGTATCATATCTATAACTGTATTATATGAGTCAGACTATCATATGTAGGATTAGGGAAGATACTAAAATGTGAAGTATACAATTCCAATATTTTCCTAACAGACTATGTGCACAATAGGGCATTATTATCCCAATATGGTATTTTCAATAATATCCCTTAGAATTAGATCTAACAGAAAAATTAAATGCTTTCTCAGCAGTATTTCCACAATTTCAGGTTTTACAACTCATCAGTGCTTAAAATTTTTAACGTACTAATTTAAATTGTTTGTACAGGAATTCTCAAGGTTTCACAAGGAAATTACACCTATGTTTGATGGTCTTCAAAACAACAGGGTTGAATGGAAAACACGAGCTGATGAATATGATGAGAAAATGAAAGCCATTGAGGAACAAAAGAAAAAGGAAGAAGAAGCAGCTGCCCAAAAAGGTTAAGTAACTTCTTAGATTTTCATTTACATATATTTGTAAGGCAGTCAACATATTCTCTCTCTCTCTCAAATTCACACATGCAGTGCACTTGTGCAATATTCTATTAAACTTTATACTAATAGTATGCAAGTTTTGAATTTGCCAAATTAGCTTTATCTTTACTTGGAAGAGGAGTAAACTTTAAAGATGACACAAATCCAGTATGCTGACATCATTTTCCGAACTGCAGGATTATATAAAATATGACCATCACAAACGTGAAGGGAATGTAAAATTTCTTTTGCCTAAAGACTTAAAATTGAATGTAATTAAATGCTTATCTGAAATACTAGATATGTATTAAAATTCTGTGTGGCACCAACCCCAAATGTATTCAAGTGCTTTGTTTAAGTTGGAAATGAAAAACATAAGGGAATGGAGGTTATGCATTTGGAACATAAAAAGCAGTGCAAATCCCCAAATCTCTTCCAAGTTTAAGATAAAGCTTTGGGCTCTAATTCCCTACCACAAGTTTCTTGGCTGAAATACACTCTCTCATATTACAAATTTAACACTACTCTTCCAAAGAGAGTCCAAGTCCTGAAACTGAAAGCATGGTTCTGCATATCCTAACCTAGAAGAGAATCTGATTTTACAGAAACTGAGAACCTATCACTCAAGTGTAAGAGTCAAATGAGTCAGTTATTTTTATTCTGTAATGCATGTGCAACAGCAGGTCAACAGCTCTGCCAATCAACTGAGATGACTGGTTCAGAGATTAAAACAAAACCATGTGTGATTATGCCAAAGTGATTAATTGTCAGCTAGTTTGAAGAAGAAAAGTTAGTTTACTCTGTGTTTCACATTTTTAAAACATAAAACAGTACTGAATAATTCATTTGCTCATCAGGGTCTGTGGGAAATAGGTGAGTATTCTTCACATTTCACACAAAAGAGGGGCTACTCAAGGCCACCCATCAAGTTACTGTCAGTGTGTGAAGTGGAACCAGGATTATTGGCTCCTAAAAATATTGATACTAGGTTAAAATAAAATTAAAAAAAAATTTAAAAGTTATTGCAAAGTGGTTTAAAAAGTACTGTAAATTACATGATTTAATCAAAGTAGATTTTTGGAAAAGTTTAATAAAATTAGTCAAATATTTTGGCCTGCTCATGCTGTGAAACCACTTACGCACCCTTTCACAGAAATTACACCCTCCAAATTGTGTCCCAAATTTATTTTCAATGACACTTTTTTTCTTGAAATTGCTCATATAATTTTACTTAAGATTAATTTATTGCTGAGAACTAGCTGGTTGTCAGTACATAAAAAGTATTCTTTTCCTTACACTGGAATGTAAGCACCTGAACTTCACAGAAATATTAGCAAGACAAAACAAAACAATCTGGGATCTCCTCACGCAACTTCAAACCTCCTTACATATTTGCTTTCTTGGCAAAGAGTGTAGTTACTAAAGTCAGATGTTATGCCCTTAAGCATAAGCTTCTTAAATAAGAACAAAATAATACATTTAGGAAGAGTTGGGTATTTCCACTCTCACTTGAAGTTAGGATCATCTTAGAACATTGGTATTTTGGAATCACTTAAGCCACTGACTTAGGAAGTATTTTCCCACAGGGAAAACAGCCAAGCACAGATTGATTTGCAGGAGCCAAAGATCTGGCCTTTGCATAGAATAACTGGCATCCCAAAAAGAAAGGGAATTATTCTGCATCTTTTTGAACACACACTGGAATGAGGCCATGCACATTTGTGAAGGACAGACCTGACACTGTCAAATCAAGGCCATGTAAATATATGGGTTTGTTAAGTCAGTTCATACAAACAAGAATTTGATACATGCTGAACCATGGTCCTTTCTCTAGATCACACTGACCGGGCTATTCTTAGCCATTCAGTAGACAGAAAACAAAATAAACATGTTTGCTGAACCACTACAGTGGAAAGTTCAGAAGAGAAAGTAAAACAGAGCAGAGTATTAAACTGAGAAAATCAAATACATAGTTAGTAACATAGTGTTGATTATATCCACAAATTACAGAGGGTAGGACACTGATTATGTGACATGTTTCAATGCAGGTGGAAAGGGTCGAAAATGACCTAGTAACATGGTGATCCACAGCTTTCGAATGTAAGTTTTAATTCTAATATTGGTATCTTACCTTAAATGAACCTGGAAACGCAATTGATTACATTGAAAGAATCTTAACTATGACCAATGAACATCTGTGGAATCATTTGAGAGAGACAGTAACAGAATCAGTAGCTATAGATAAAAATATAAAAACTATCTCTCTCTCTTAACCAGTAATTACAAAGGGATTCACGCAGGGTTGAATAAAGGTTTATGTAATTAGGTCAAATTAAAGTTTTTGTATCATCTGCTTCAAAAATAGATTCACAGATTATATTGATCAAAGAGTTCCTTTTTTTTTTGCATGGCTTGCATTCCTCAGTTTTGTATGTGTGGGACAGTCATATCTACTTAACTGCTGAAACTTTCCAGTAAGAGTGGTTCAGTGTGTGTTTGGTCCTTTGAGAAATGTTAGTATCCACTCCTACACTATATGCACATATGTATATATAATGTGTCATTGTTTCATATTCCTATTTCCCAGACAAGCAGTGAAATTTCAGAAGGTCAAACACACATAATATGCATAAAACAAAAGCAACACCTCTATAACAAGAAATTAGAGCAGCTAAAATTAACAGAAAATACTCATTTTACTTTTCTTATCTGTTTTTTAGCAGAAAATCCAGGTGGAGGTGAAGAAGGAAAATCCAAAACATGTGTAGTTTTGTAATTCTTTGTCTCAAACTGTTCCTGCTACAGAAAAGACATCTAGAAAGAACGTCAATGAACCCCAGTGGATTTCTGCTTTGCATAGAATAGTATAGCTTGATCTCTTTAACAATCCTCTTAAAACATTTGCCATTTGTTGGAAATAATTTTTAATGAAGTAAAAAATGGTTACAATTAAAAACTGAAAATAATAACGGTGTGAACTGTGCGCTCTAGGTATTTTTCCATGTCACTCAATTTACATAGAGTGTTTTTATTAAAATAGATCATTCTGCACACTGTCCAGAAAACATACAATTTTTGGCAGATCTATGAAATTATGGAATGAAATCTAATGTGTACAATTCAAACAAAAAATTCAACTATTGCTACTTGTATATTTAGATTTTTATATTACGTGTCTTTCCTTAATCTGGAATTCCATCCATTCCCTTCATTCTCAACACTATATAAAGTTCTAGAGTAAACATCTCCTTCACTTTAGGAATGCTCAACACAATTAGCTGGCTCTGTTTATAAAAAGCAAGCCCATGGTACACTGTGTTTTTTCAAAATTGCCAAGAGAGTTTGCTAAGATACCAGCATATCCACAGTAGGATCTACATTCAAAAGCATTTTAAAAGGCTCACATACTCCCAATGTACCCTTTTGAAAATGCAATAAATTAAAGTATTTCAAAACCAATTAGTTGGCAACAATTTAATAATGAGAAGGGAAAGGAAAAGAGGTAGAGCACATTAGAATTCACATTACCTCTCTCTCTAATACCAGAGACAGACTGCACACAAATTAGCTCCTCATGAACAATGAAGAGCTACCAAAACCTGTTCTTGAACAATGACAGTCCACTCCATTCATTCTACTCAGGTCTTGCAAAGCCAGCTCCTCCTGCAGAGGGAGGAGGGGAAATGGCTGGTATATTATGCACAGATCTGAGTATTCACTGGAACCAGTTCCAAATCCAAGGAGATGGATGTCAAACGCAGTTCCTGCAATAAGTAAATTCAACATGCAGACTCAATCCTGCCACTTTTCCTCCCCCTTTAAACAAAGAAGACCCACACTTTTTTTCCCCTCTGAAGGGCCCTCAGTATTCACAGAGAAGGGAGAATCAGTGAATTGCTCTATATACACCTTTCTAAGAACGCTCTATGAACAGAGATACTGTGTACAATTATCACTCAAAATTAAAGGAATCCACAAAAAAAACCCAAACACTTAAAACATCCTGACTTATAAATGAGCCAAATATTTTATGCAAACAGTTATGACATAAAACTGGGTATATCATGTGTTATTTTCTGTATTAAATGCAGCTACTAAAGAAAACTATTTCAAGGTTGTTTGATAATGTAATTTTATTCAAACTGTATTAAATTATGTATTTACTATGTATACTGTAAATTTTTATAAATGTATTTTAAAGACCCAAAGAGGAGTTAGTTATCCAGAACACATACTTAATATACAATACTTGAAGCAACAAATATAGCAACGCATTCGACAAAAGCCCCTTTGGGCAAGTTGCACACGTGTAAGCAGATTGCTGCAGATTGGATTTGACTCTCAACCAAGCTTGCAAGATGACAGAGAATTAACCTTTAAATCCACCTTCTTACCTAAAGAAGCCTTCATGCAAGGTTACATTTATTTCTTACTCAAGGACACCCTAAATATGTCCTTGTACTGTCATCTATTATGTAAGTACAAACTGTTCAAAATGTAATTTTGTTAAGTAATACTTGTAAATAGAGTTCTCAACTTATTCACATGAGTGCATGTTAAATGTTCATAAATACACTGCAACCATCTCTGCTGTTCCTTTTTCCACATCAAATACTATAAATAGTTTGTATACATATATCTACAGTGAAAAGTACTTATCAAAAGATATATTTTATACAATAGTAACTTTCCTCAGAATAACATGAAAATTTAATTTAAAAAAGTTTGTTCTTCGTATCCAAAGTAATTTGCACCTGACAGAAAAAAACACCCACTGTACTTGTTCATGTGCAGACTGTTTCTTGTGAAACATAACTGAATGAATCTTTAAAGATATGTTGCACCTTGAAGAGGAATACAAATCCAGTACGTTTCTCAAGCAATATACATGCTTTACTTGTATATTTAGGATTACACTTTAAAGAAGGATTAACATTCAGTTAATGGAAAGGAGATCAGAAGCCACAGATAACATAAAAGTCACATGTACATCTCCGGTAGAAAGCCACACATGTATGTTTTACACCAAAAATACCAACCAAATTTTTATAAATGGAATTATAAGACACATCGCATTCTAGCTAAAATTTAAAACAAAGTCACAATAAACTGAACTTTTTAAAGGACTATGGGAGACATTTCACAATTTACTTAATTCAAGCAGAGTACATATTTGATAAAACTTGAACTTCTCCAATAACACTTAAAAATACTTACAGAGACTAATACCTGAATATTAAAGTCTACATGGCCAATAAATTTAAGGCTATTACCTCTTGTTAAATAAATTAAAAATACAAATATATTAAAGTGTATGGCTTTAAACTACTCACAGAAACTTACAAATGCTCCTTCATAAAAATCTGACAATACCTGAAGTTTGGGATAAAATAAAAAGCAGTGAACTTCTGATGTAATGTTAATAAACCATATATTCTTGTTTGTTTAAGTCTGGGTGCCATATATCTTTTGCACTGAAAGAGTTATTTCTCTTGTTTCATGAGTATGCAACCTATCATAAGAGACAAAGTTTTTAGATTTGAAGCCTTCTACAAAGATAATCTACCCAAATTGTTCATATGAGTGACTGAAGAAAACGTATGCTGGAAGAAAGAGGTCTCCGGTAAATTATGACTGGATTTCCAGACTTCCATCTTGACAATTCACGAAGAAAGTCAGCCTATATCAATTTCAAGGTTTAGAGAAACAAGTCTTGAAAATACTCATCAAACTCCTCCTCCCTGTAAGAACAACAACAACAAAAATGTCAAAGACAGTTCTGCTTTGGATTTTTATCTAGGAGATAATCTTTGTATGAAAAATATTTAGCAAACTTCTCCTTAGAATTGTAGAACATATAGATAATTTTGAATTATTCCAATATCCTTCACAACTTCTTGACTGAGCAACAGTAGTGAGCTGTTAGGATTTACTTCTAAAATAATTAACAGCATAGTAGAAGGTAAGACAGTGGTATCAGTGGCTTGAGAAAGGTTTTCATCCAGAGTTGTGTATGACTCCTCTTTAAAAACACATTCTTAGGTTAGCATGAAAAAAGATTTGACATAACTTTAAATGTCAGATTATTCATTGAAACACTCAGGAAAAATCTCTGCCTTTGCAGTTCCGAATGGACACTGTACATTTTACCAGCTACAAGTTCACAGGATCAAACTAACCGTGATTTTTCATCTGCATCTTGTAGGGGACCTTTCCAAAAGTCAGCATCTGAAGGACCATCTTCTGCATCACTGTTATTAGAATCTGTTAAAAAATTTAAAGTGTTTATTAAATAAACTGTAAAATAATTAATCTTTTTTTTTACTTAGATGGCATATTACTAGGAGCAATGTTTAACTACAATCATGAGAATTAACACTTTACCTTGCATAAAATGAAAATGAAAATGTTTTGCAACTTTAATCAATGTAGCATCAAAAAGAGTCTTGGATACCATGAACTAACATTTTGGCCAAACATAACAACAATTGTGTGAAAACACTGCTCTCGACACAACAGCAGCACAGCATTTTGTTCCTAAAATCAAACAATCGCAAACCCAGAATTACAATACTGTTTCAATTAATGACATTAAATGGATCAATTACCTTATTTCTACTTATATGACTATTTATATCGTGACTTACCAGTGCAATTGTCAGAAAACACGGATTACTGCATAACTGTTTTGTGTAAGTATATAGGAGTGAAAACTCGTATCAGAAACATGCACTGACCTAGAAAAAACTGATCTTCCAATAAAGTTTTCCTGGCAAAACAGAAACTTTGGGCATGGTCCAAGTCACAAGAAAACTGCTTCAGGTCTTCCTGTAGCTAACTGTGAAAACCTGGAGCCTCAAGACATCCTTAAAAACGTACAGCAGAGCACAGAAATCAGTAGAAACACTCAATCTCTTCTAGACAGTCTGCAGCAAGAATTGCCATGACCAGAAGATGGGGCTTTTTTAATCAAAAAGAAACTGGAGACTGGAATTACTGAGCTACAGAGACAACCAGTGCCTAAAGAGTTACTGAGACTGAGTGCAACAAGTAGGTCTCTGAGGTACTACTGGTGGTAGTTGGAAAAGACTTTATTAAAAGCCTAGGATGTATTTAAAATCTTTTTTTTTTTTGAGCAGAGTACATACAATTCTGTGAAGGAAAATGTACTAGTTATTATATCAGAAAAGTACTTTCCTTACACAGTACAGATTACACAGCATACATTTGCATACCTGGACCCATGCAATTAATAATGTACCTATTTTTGCACCCTCTTTTCTGGAACAGTCTGACCTCTCATTTTTCTGATTATTTCTATTCTGTTATCTGCCCACATTTTCATTCTTTGCTTAAACAATTTCCTTCTTAAAATTCCCTACAGTTTTTCTCCAGGATATATAAGTAATTAATTTGAACCTTCATATTTGTTTGTTTGCACGCAGCATTTTTATCTTATAAAATAATAAAAAAGTCAGCTTATAAAACTAAGATCAATGACAAATGAAATAATACAACTTATTACAAAAACATAAGAGATATTAAAATACTTTACCTTTATCAGAACTATCTGAATCTTCTGAAGAAACCTGATCTGTAAAGAAGCACCAAGATAGAAAAAAAATAGTAAGCTTACCTTGGTTATCCGTTATCTTAAATTGTTCACAAGGATTACACACAGTTGTTCACACACATTGTTTCACAATGTATTACACACAAACGTGCACAAACACGCACACACCACACTCAAAAAAAGCAAGCAAATACCGAAGAAGAAGGATTTTTTTTTGCATGAGTGCAAAGGTCTCAGTTTTAGTTCAATTATGTTATCCCAAGATCTGTGGTGTAAAAAGGTTATCTAACATTTCTAAAAGGCTTTCAACCCCAAAGCCTCATGAAATGAAATACTTCACAACCCTTTCTGGTATGCAATGTCCAATTTTTGGACAAATTTTCCTTGTAATGCATATTTTTCAAAAGGCTCTCCCTCTCTGCTACATATAAGAAATTTATCTTTTTTTTTGCATCTAGGAAATTTTACCTCAGAAATTTATCTTTTTGACTACCTGTGTTAGAATCAAGAAAGTTACATATCTCTATGTATAACTAAATGTATTTATCTATACATAATTATGCAACTATATCTATGCAGCTATAGCAAAACTAAGGTTCAACTAACACATTTGTATATTTTAATAACTAAAGGTTTAAAACTTAAATGTACCTTTATGGGTCTTTTTTTTGGACTTCTTTTTTGTTGAACGAGAAAATTTAGTCTTCTTATTTTTTGGCTCTTTAGAGTCCTGTACAGCTGTGCCTCCTTTCTTGTGTGTTTTGACTTCTTTCCTCCTTTAAAAAAGATGAATATACACCTTCTCTATTATATGTACTTCTTATGCAACAGGAAATCTAAAGCATTTAATTCAGTCAAACAGTTCTCATTTTTTCCAGAAACCTAACAGTAGCTAAACTGAAAAAATTAATTTGGTTTTAAAAAGAAAAGTGCTATAGAAACACAAGAGCTCTAGAGCTGAAGGTAAAGCACAGGAAATGCTAAACTCACTAATAGGACACTGATACAGACAACAAAAACAGTGCATTGGCAAACAAACATTAAATACAGAAAACAATTTTATAACATGCCGAATTCTTACTTATTTTGAGTTTTTTTCTTTTAGCAAATAACTTTGTATATATGTAGTGAGAAAAACACAGTTAATACAGATTTTAAAATATATTTTCATATTTGATAGCAACAAAACCTGAGGTAGAGGACTCTCAAGCCTAAGAAGCTGCTGCAAACAACCAAGCCATGTGTTTTATTTTCAGCATTACTTATACTGGCTTGTTGTAAGAACATAGGTTTTTTCCTACTTCTTTGTAAGAAGAGGTCAGTGAAATTGTTTCAAAGTAAGTATTACTCTGGAACAGTCAAAATGTGTGACCATGCTTATTCAGAATTCAAGTGGTTTTAAGACTTTAGTTCCAAAAATCAAGACAGATCAAACTAATCTCAGTTAACGAATTATCCCTCCTAATATCTGCCTACACAGTGCTCTAGTGAAATTGCATATGAATTAACTTTCAAAATGGATTGACTACTAGATGCACGTTTGATTACTGTTACTTTAGAAAAGAAATCATTGTTTCCTGGCTCAGAGGTTTGCCTTTCACATGCTTTGCAGATAATTGTATGGGTTAATTACTGAGACATGCAACTAAGTTAATGCCACATCAAAATTTAAAAAATCATAAAACCTGAGTGTCAATAGCTGTGGAATTCAATAAGATTACAGATACTATATAAAAAACAAATTTAAAAAAATCTAATCTTAATGCACACATTTTGTAGGTTCAAAATACACTAATTTTCTCTCCAATTAATAAGTGATTCTCAAAGAAGAACAAACATTCAAATTCAAACTTTCCAAGCACAGTCACTTGACTCACACATAAAGCCACTATTTCTAGTAAAAGGAAAAGCATTTCAGCTCTGAAACAAAGCAAGAGGGGAAATTTAAAAAGTGTTTTGCATAAATGTTCAGATAAGGAAAATAATCACTAGGCTGAAATTAAGCAAATGAAACTTCTGTGGTGGTAGGGATGGGATTCTTCCAGTTTGAGGGGTTTCGCACTTTCGTTAGTGCAGTCCCTAACTCTCAACAGGGACAAGTCAGTGACTTTATAAGAACTACAGAACATTTATGCTAGTTCAGCATAAATTAAGTTCCTAATCATCTAGGTGAAGTCTTTCCCCTATTTGCTGTTCATCATAACTGTAACCTATCAATAATTCACCCCCCATATTTTAAAATATTTCATTACCGGTGATGAAAGTTTAGTTTGTAGGAACATTCTGGACATAGTCCTGAAAAAGAGAAAATAAGAACATTGCAGCCATCATTCTGATAAGCATAATTAACAAAATTTAGAAGTAGATCTTTCAGTTCCAGTAGCTTTTCCTTCAAAACTGTAGTTACAATGTAATTGCAGCCAGGATTTAGAAAAATACCACAACGAAATTCTTCAGTACAAACCCGGATTTTACTAAACCTGGAGAAAGATCACAGGTTTAGCATTGATAACTATTCATTAAAAAAGTATCAGTGCTTATCACGTACAGACATCACATTTTATGGATCTTTGGGGACAGATCAAATTGTTCTATAATAACACTGAAGACCCATAAGTGTCTTAGAGCTTTGCCAGAGACCAAGTGTTCCTACATGGATTGTCTTGCGCACAAAAGAAAAAAACCACCATTAGTTTGTTTTACACAAAGTAACTGTGTAAACTATGGTAAGTTTAATTATCTGATGAATGTATCAAAATATATACAATACTGAAAAAGAAAATCCCAGTCAAGATGCAAGAATGGAAAAGAAATTATTTAATTAAAGATAAGAACTCTGTAAGAAAACATAAATATTAAAATCCGTAGAGCTGAAGGTGTGCAAGAAGTTGTCTGGTCCAAAACCCTAAGGACTCCTAAGGGTTGTAACTGAATGAGCAATGACAATGCTGAAATCCTCCCTGCAATGTCGTATTGTCCATTAAAACCAGACATGCCTGTATACACAACAGCTTATAATCGATTATTCTAATTTTATAACATCATTCATTATACAGTATGAAGTGGTCAATCTGTAACAACTTCATTATATATAATGATAATAGCTGTTCTCTCTAAATCAAGACCATCATACTACCACCTGTGATTAAGAAAATTATATCCTATTCTGCATTTTTCACTTTGCATGAACTAATATAATTGAGTCTTGTTTGATGGCTTTTAAAGCACAAGATATTTGTCTTCTTTTAGTGTACATATCCTTGAAGGGCTGACTTACGCAACTTCACAAGTGCATTCCTCTTTTCACCATGCTCAATGTAACCAAAATTCACCTCCCAGCTCTTCAGGCCTTCTTGCTCATCACAGTGCTTATTTCCACAGGAAAACTGACCTGTAAAGAGGTCAAAACCAGCAAAGTGTGGTTCAATGATTAACATGCATAGGTTTAGGCTTGTTATTTCCAGTTTTGCTCAGTTTTTGCTTTTTGTGTTCCATTTCTTTCAAACAAAAAAGAGTGCAAATCTAAAAATAACATCTAGAGTAAGGAAACAATAACAGAGAACAACAAAGCAATCAATCAATCAATTGAACTTGCCTAATGCTGCCTATTTGCAAAGAAAAACAAAACTGGAACTGTGTTTTGAAATGTATGGATGAAGATATGCTAAGAATAAGCCTAATACTGAACTCTGAAAAAATGAATGTTACTAGGAGACATTCTATACCCTAAATAATTACTTACTTAGTAGTGGTGATGGATTAGGAAGTGTGATACAGACATGCATCTTTAATGACATCAAACTATTGAAAGTATCATGTACATACCAAATGAAGATGCCCATTCTTATTGCCTATCTAATTTACCTGATACACCAGACATACAACTTGTATTCTAATGACCTTTCATAAACACCTTTCTTTCAAGAAAAGGAAATCCAATTTTGTGAGAAATTATATGTCAGCTTTAATAGCTTCCTTCAGTTCATTATGTGAAAGGCAACAATGATTTTAATACAATCTGCACCTAACCAATGTTGTTTACAGCACTGACTTCATAATATTGGAGAAATAAAGATACATATATTCCTTTTGCAGAAGCCTGATTTGTATACAGGGCTGGTAGAAGGGATGTGAAGGATGTGTATTAATAGGCTCACAAGCAGGACTGTTGGTGAACGATTAACCTCAGAAAATTCTGCTTAAGCTGCTAACTAGTGGATTGGCAGTGTCCTCAGATACTTCAGTTCTGCAATGAAACACCACTTGCAATGTGAACATTTGAAGGCACCAGCAGTGGTTCTCATCACCACTATTACTGACACAGCTAAATTAAGTACATACAATGCAAATTATCAGACAGGCATGTAATAACGTTTTATTAGATTTGAGTAAATCAATTTATATTGCTGATTTATATTTGAAAATAGCATTGAAGACCCACGCCTTCTTTAAAGGATAGTTTAGAACCGCACTCGGGAAGAGAGTCCGACATCCGTGAGCGCGTTGGGTTCTCGCGCCCTCCAGTGGTGAAAGGGAAGGATTTATCAATTCTTATATTCCATTGTACGCTTTCCATCAGCATTCCATTAAAAAGCTTTAAACATGTAATTCTGCACTTTTTGCCACATTTTAAAATATGGAGTACCAGATATTAAAATTACAATGCAGCTTTAAATTCTTTTCCCCCATGAAGACATAAAAATAATTTATTTCTCATTTAATTTTAATTATCTTTTTAAAGCATTCAATAAAGCACGCACCAAATGTAACTATCTGGTAACATAATCTGTAGTGCTCAATGCAACATATTACTACAACCACCTTTAGAAGTTCTAATCTTTATAGCTTAAAAATCCCATCATTAATGTTTACACTTCCTAATGTGAAATATACATTTTTAAAAACATAATTTTTTTTTAACTTTCCGTAGTATAGTATAATAGAGCTGTTTACAGAATGCAGCTCTCCACAAAACTGTAGCTGAGAGACACTGACCAACGATATCACCCCACACGATTTTCTTGTGTCTGCATCCATGACTTCTGAAAACTACACACGTATGAGGATCCACCCACAGGAAGAGCAATCTATTCACCTCATTTTCTTGCTTGTTCAGCAACTTGAAAATGCCCAAGCACCTAGGCCACGGAATGGGGACTGCTGTGCAAGGTCCCAGTAACACACTGGTAAGAATTCACACACAGAATTAAGCTGCCAATTCAGAAACAGGACTGGGAGACATGATAACCATTCCCACTATTCCCACTGAGGCTTTCAATTCCAATTTAACCTCAAACAGACATCACACAAGAAACTTTGATTAAAAAGTTAACCTTTTGCAGAACAGCATTGGAGAAACTATTAATAAATAATTTCCTGAGGAAATGTACTGAGACACTTCAATTAAGAGTATTCTACATTATCAAATGCGTTATGGTGGTGTTCACTACAAATCTGATCTTTTGACAATAAACCAAATGTTCTTTTAATGTTAAAATATGCAGATCACTGTGCACTCTAGACCTATGTGCATAAAACAGCAAAGTTGGAAGTTAAGTCAATTTATCGTCCATTATTATCTGATAAACTTACCAGTATTGTCAAATACCGTCTAACAAAATTATGTCAAAATGCATCAAGAAATGTAATAAAAAATGAAAGACAGCATTACCTTTTCCTGAAATTACTTCTTTCTCATGTCGCCATCTAAATCCAAACTGTTAAGAACCAAAATTAAGTTGTAAATACTCAATGTATTCAGTATCGGAAAGAATAATTTTAGTTGATTGATTTCCTGCATGTGGTTGATCCATTCAATCTCAGTCAGAAAAATTTAATTTCTTTCTCTTTTAATTAAATATATCTCTCTGCCTCTGCTTGCCAGAATGATATTTTATTTATAAAAATACTTTACATATTTTTATTTTCACAGGAAAGTCTCCATACTGAAAAACAATTACAAAAGCAAAAATATTAACATTTCCAAGTGGAAGACAAGTTGGCCTAGAAATCTGGAAATAATAAAACCAAAAGAATAAAATGTATTCTATTTAATGACCAGGTGTCAAACAGATTTCATTTCTTGGCAATAGGAGACATTTCCAATCTGTTAAGCTACAAAACAAAGCAGAGACAGCAAATAAGAACTTTTCTAGAAAAATAAGACAACAACAAGAAGAAAACATTTCAAGTCCAATGCATATCAAAGTAAAGCTTAGATGCAGAGCAGAGCTAATGCAGCTCCCTTGCTGCATCACAAAACTGACAATAGAATTAAACTATCTGACAATACAGATGGTCATTTATCAGCCTGAAAGCTTGCAGACAAGATGCACTGAAGGTTCAAAGACAACCTTGACCCAAAAATTTCTTATCTAGGGAAAATGTAACGAGTAACAGACCCATCACAAGCAATAGCTGTCAGAACACACTGTCTCTAAGTAGCCTCATACCAGAGGTTCACATTGGCATTTGATTAAAAGGAAAAGATTGTATGTTCTAACCACACAATGAAAAGTGGGATCATGGATCAAAAGGTCCTCTTTGACTGCAGTGCCAGCAACCAAGATGAGTGCAAGTGAGTGTGTGAGCAGCAGTGAAGACCAAGCCAGACCATCAGCAAGGTGAAGGGCCTGGGAGCATGGAGGGTGAGCGAGTCTGCAGGGGTCAGCTCTGGGTGTGAGAACACCTCTGTATGTGTAGGGCTGACAGCACAGGGGGTGTGCTGCGAGACTAGGGGAGTCTCAACCACCTCTGTGTGGATGTGTGTGTGTGTCTGCATGTGTGTGTGTGTGCACAGTCATGTGTGCATGTCAGTGAAACAGTCTGAACCAGCAACATTTGCAATGTGGCTGCAGCCTTGGGGGTTCATATATCTTACAGCTTCTTACTGTTTTCTTCTGAGCTTCAGCCTTTGACAAGGTGCTCTGCTTATTTTTCAGACCTCAGGAGAGACGCTCCCATGAAACTTGCCCTTATAATTATCCAGTATTTCAGAAAACATAGTTTTTTCTTGGAAGAAAAATTCCAAAAGAGATCTGAGCTACAATCTCTATGCAGAGATCTTTAGAAAAATTATCTGACTAGAAGATTTTGTTGGAGCAAAACAAGTACAGCTGTGAAAAGCCAGATGAGCATGTATGTGCAAGACTCAATCTGTGCAATATAAATGTTTAAAACATTACAGAAAACTGACCTCCAACTTTACTTTGACACCATCTAAGCAGGATATAGAACCAACAGAATCAAAGAACAGCCCAGGCTGGAAGGCACCTCGACAACCATTGCTGTTCAACCTTGTTCAACTATTCATGGGAAAGGGGGCAGAGATGAGATTATCCAGCACCCTGTGCAATTGCACCTGCAAAACCTCCAGCTGTGGGGATTGTAACGTGCCACTGGGGAGGTTGTTCCAGCAAATCAATGCTTCCACTTTCTTATATCAATATGAAGTACCATCATGTAAAGCATCAACAACTATCATACAAAAAGTTGGCCAGCTAAGAAGCTTGTTATCCACCCTGCAACCTCTCATAGCACCAGCACTGCAAAACAGAAGGCACAAGGGGCTAAAGATATCCAACAGTTTCTCAAAATGCAGAAAAAAAAATCAAGGCAGGAAAAATCTGAAAGCACAGACTGCATTCCATTGGTGCGAATGGGATCAGCAGCCCATTTCAGACTTCCAAGAAAAAAGCCTGCTTTGAAATCCTTCTCTACCAAACATAGGCATGGATAAATCAGTAATTGAAAAAAATCTCGTTTTTCCTATTTTTCTAAGAATTTCTAAGAAAGGACTTTCATATGATCAGAAAATATTTGAGAACAGAAAGCATAAATATTTTACAAACTGCATGACACAGCAGTTATGCTGACATGGCAATTCCAAAAATATAGATAATGACTTATGTGTATAAATGGGAATTAAGAGTGACCTCAAAGGGAGGACAGACACACTTGAAGTCTGACAGGGAAATACTGTTCACACAACACACACGCACAAAAACTCTAGGGCAGAAGGGTTTCCCACAAAAGATAGCAAACACACGGAAACTTGGCACAGCAGTGAAAGAAACAAAATCTGTAAGCCTGCTCCAGGGAAATCAGCTAGGGGACAGAGAGGACATTGAGCAATATGAAACAGCTATAGGAAAATAAAAGGAAATTTACTCAAAAAAAGAAGGGAAGGCATCTTCAGCGTTTTAATTTTTGTTGATTTTAATTAAATGTTCACATTTTACTTTTCCAACTGTCTTTAGATGACTATCATCTTTTCTGCCTAATAGAGTTAAGCCCAGTTCTTTCAACTATTTACCAGTTAATGTAGTTTTCAATACTATAAATAGTCTAAAAGAACTATATAGACACTGTTTACAGCACTGGGTTACTGTGTGTTAACACCAAGACACATCTGAGTTAGCTACACTCTTTGCAAAACCACAATAGAAAATTCCTGTATGCTCTCTGACTAAGAAGTTAGTCAGCCAAAAACTTGGAGAAAATAAAGGCTGTTCCAGTTAAGAAGAAAACCTGGTGCTGGAACTGGGCTGTTTCTCTTAAGAAATTCTATTTATTTACAAGGCACATACAGATCCTGTTTCCACAAACAGAAAAAAAGAACAACCAGCAAAAGATGCTACTTTAGAATAGACTTTTCCAAAATTGTTTCTGCCAGCATTCAAGTACAAAACTCTTTTTAGACTTTTTTTTTTAACAGTAACATTCCAGGGTTTTCTAGGCTTCATCTATTGCTCCTCTCCAAGCAACCTCTCTAGCCTTCTTCCTTTAACCTCTTTGCGTTTTCTGCCTTTTTCACACACAATGTACCTCTTCATAAAACACCATCTGACAGAAATGCTCATATTCCCACAGAAGCACATTTTTGGGGCAGTGACAATGCTTGGATTCAAACTGCTGCTGCTTATTAAGTAACTTGACAAATTCTCACAACTCTTTCTCTAGGGAAGGGGTACAACATTCCAGTTTCACAATGTATCCACAATCATAAGGCAATTTTTAAAAAGGACATACTTCAAAACCAGTGTGATTTACAATAATTAAACATACCTTATTCTCTTTGTATCTGCTGAGATCTGCTATGCAGTATTCTTTGAACAGTTTATCATAATACTTCTTTGCAAGCCTCTTCTCCCTATAACAAAAGGTATTTTTTTATTAAATACAGAACATGACACAATTCACTTTACATTGTAATGACATCAACAAGACGTTGTTTCATGCAAAGAACACAAGTTGCAGAGAAATGAAACAGATACACACATTAAACTAAGGAGTAATTTCCATAAAATTGGAAAAATATACATAAAATAAATTTGCAATACATACTAAACTATGTTTTTTCAAACTCAGATTTCTTCAGAGTTTTCAGAACAGTCATTTGAATCTCAGAGAATGCACAATTATTTATTAGTTTTTCTGTCATCAACTCATGTTGCCACTTGAGCAATATCGCAATATGAAATACCTCCTAATGGTCTTTCATTTTCAAATGCATCAAAGATCAAAGAATGATCACTAAGTATGCACAGTAATGCTCATTAGTAGGGGACACTACAAATTTAGTACAAGTGATCTAAAAATAACATGTTCTATAATATTTTCAGTACCAATTCATGTCTGCTTCGTCTTCTTCATTCCACAGGAATCTGTGGTTTTCTCTAATAACATCAAGATCCGTCTTGTCATTTGCTCTATAAAAGGACACACTTTTTTTTAGTACAATGTAATATTAAAGTGAAAAGTCCATCAAATAATAATTTGGTAAGCATCAGTATTCCACAGTTATGATCTCCACCCCACAGCATACAGGAATACATTGCTATGAAATAAAACTACCAGGTATTCCCTGGCATACCTGTTCCCTAAAAACCAAAAAAAACTCAGGGTGGAAAATGGCCACTGCAATTGTGGATGACTTGATCCTATCTGAAAACACTTTTTACACTCTTTATTGAAGACAGTAATTTTAAAAGGCAGTTATATATACTCTAAAGAAGGTTATTATTCTGGACAATGGATAGCATTTCTGTACATTTCAAAAGTATTTCAGGCTGTTATTTTGAAGGTACTGACAGATATTTCTCAATGTACCTTCAATTAATGCTCACCTGTCATCTTTCTTTTTGCATAACAAAACAAAAATAATTCAGCTCAAGGTAAGGTCTTATCTAAAAAATGAAACAATGCAATTTTGTTTTTTAGGATTTACAATTTACAAGTACTGTAGTTACCATTTTTGACCAAAAAAATTAGTAATTTCACACACAGCCACATCCACTTCTGCCCCTAAAGCCATAATATATATTTACCAGCTTGACATAACAGGGGAGTTTAAGGGTCACGAGGGGAAAGTTTGCTAATGGTTCTCACCCAGTTCGTCGGAAGTCCTCTATTTTGCCACCATAGTATAAAATGTAGTCATGCACTAACTTTTTATGTCTTTCATACTGAATAAAGCAATTAAGGATTGTTTCAGAACTTATCTTCTTTTGTTTTACCATAGCTTAAAACTAAAAAAAAAAAAACAAAACCAAAAAACTTTTTGTATACTTAAGAGAAAGACATTTTTTTCCTCACAAACAGTTCAGTAATTTCCAGAAAGAACAGAATTAATTAGCAACTTTTACTTAATAACCTCTCATAGAAGCTACTTTCCAAATACAGGAATTCAAGGCAATTTCATGTTTAAAACCTCATTCAGCTGCCAGACCTTTATAAAACTGTCTTCCTTTATCAAACATGCTCTGTACTCATATACATAGAAACTTGGTTTATTTTCTCAGCTGTAATTTAGACAACAGCTTCTCAGTATTGCAGTTTTGGTTTAAAACAGGTTTGTATTTCTGCATTATAAAAATAGTCTGGCTACTAAAATGAAACAATTTATTACATTTTTACCATCAACATACAAGTAAAAGTTGTATGCTTTAGTTTGGAGATGAAAATCATGGAAAATTATGTAATGCTTTTTAGAATACATTGGTCTCAGAGACATAATTTGAAACACATTTTGTACCACAATTTGAGCAAAATTTGTAATTATTTATTCAGAAAATAAGCCTCTTCAAAAATAAAAACACTATATATGCCTTCTTTTTCAAATAACTTGTATCTCAACAACAAAAAGTAGCTCTTTTGAAGAATGACTCAGTATCTGGTACTGCACTGTCAACTACTGTCATAACTGAGAAATCCCAGTATTTTACCCTAATGGATAACCCGTGCCCCACCTTCAAACTTGAAGAAAAATGAAACAGAAGGATACAGCACTCATTGATATCAAGTGAAATCTTCTTTTTCTTGCTTCTTCCCTGTTAATAACAAACATGCTTCAGTGAAAGCTATCTTTCCCTTAAGGTAAAAAAATATCTCACAAAATCAGTATATAAAAGATACCTATCACATTCTTCAGCTGCGAATTGTCTGTGAACCACACTGCCTTGCTTTGCTTTTTGGAACGGCTTTACCAGAAGGCCATCCTCCTCTATTCTAAAGGTAGGTGGGAAAAAGGAAGAAAAGTTAGTCAAGAACTTTCCATAAGCAATAGAATTTCCATATGCCAAACCTTCCACTAACTTGATTAACAAAAACTGTTATATTGCTAGTTTCTACATGAATGAAACAAAACTTCAGAACCAATATCAGCTTGGACTTTACCTCATTTGCAGAACAAAATCAGAAAGGCAATCACAGTTAGCATTTAAAGGAAAATGCTTAAAATTTGTAATATTTATTTTTATCAATACTATCACTATAGAACCACAATGAAAAACCTCCGAAGTTTCCGAAGTTTCACTCTACATTCTAAGTCCTCCACAAATCTCAGCTACAAATCTCAGCTACACAGCAAAGTAGGAACAGAAAGGACAGTGTGCTCACTGAAAGACAGTGACTGCTAATAACCCTATCCCACCCTTCCATGCCAATGGCCCATCACCTCATTAAACAGCTCTGCCTCTTGTAGTGCAATCACATGAATCACAAATTTAAAACTCAACTGCCATGTTGTGAACCATACTTGTCCTAAAACATAGAACTAAAAATACCTTAAGAATTCAACAAAGTAATAAAAAGTTAACTATAAAGAGATGCATTTTAGCTAGTAAAAGGTATATTTAGTTAGTTTCATTCATGAGTAGAGGTGAAGAAAAGATTTTTCCATAATCATCAGCTGACAGAAAGAATGGAAGTCAGAAACTTGAAGAAAGCAAGCCAGAGAATTTGTATTCCAAGCTATGGAATAGAAGTCTAGAAACTAAGGGCATCATTTGCTCAAAAGGATCTGTAAGCACAAAATTCCCATAAGGAGACTCCATAAAACAGCAATTTGGAAAAAATTTAAGACTACTATTTTCCTTAAAGTGAAAATAAATATCATCATACAGCAAGAAGATCTACACATAGAGTGAACCCACATAAGAGCCCTACTGGGAATCAGCAGTAGTGTGCCAGAACAAGGATAATGATGGTATTTTTGAAAGGCTCCTGATGGTTAGTTAATATTCCACCTCGAAAGTGGAAGGGTAGAATGTACAATGGCCTTCTAAAGAAAACAAAATCTGAACAAAACCAGTCACTGTTTTAATGGAGAACAGCTATATTTATAAAATAAATGAAACACCACAATGCCTGCTCTTATTCCAACGATTAAAACATGAAATGTTTTTCCCACAATGCAGTCAGACACTACAAAATCCATTCTTTCAATTTTTCTACAAAGGAAAATATGCAAGTGGCCTAGGAAAGTTTCCAGAAAGTCTTCTTAAATAAAGTCCAGTAAAAAGTAAGGGAGAGACAGAAAAAAGAAAAGTACATGCATAATGTGGGTCAAATGTTCAGTATGGTGCAGAAAGTGTCAAAGGACTACACTGCCAAAACAAGATAAATACATAAATAAATAAAAATCTTTACAATATAAGGAAATCAGACTACAAATTTCCAGGTCACTAATTGTGGGAACTACTGAAAGAATTAGCAAAAGTCATCTCAAATAAGAGATATGCAGTTACACTTCAAGGATTGAATACAATACAATTCACCAATTCCCAGGTCTCTCCACAAATTAAATAATAAAGAAGTAGCATTAGTTCTTCACTTTATATGTTTTATATCTACAAAGCCTGCTACTACTTGGCCTTTCTTGCCTTGCTCTCCTAGCAGTTCCATTTGTCCTGATGGATTCACAGTGAAGTGAACAGTGCTGCCAAATCCCAGCAGTGGATACTAATGCTTGGAAAAACGAAACACTCTGCTCCGAGAAGTGAGGAGGATATAGACAACAGATGGAGATGGCAGAACAGATCTCAATCAGCTGCCCCTAGGAGATGACAAGCTTTGGCAAGCTTGACATGAGGAGATGCAGAAATCAAAGAGATTGATTTTTTCAAAAACCATTTCAACACCAGACTTTACATACAACAGCATCATCTTCTATGCACACTAAGAGGCCATTTGCACAAAATGTGTAATGCAAAGTGTTAAGTCTATACTACATTACCTTTTAGTTTTTTGCAGAGACTTCTCTCCACTCTCCTCATCACTGAAATCAGAATCATAGCCTCCATGGCCATGTGCCTGAAAATAATAGACCAGTCAATATATCTGCTAATGTAACATGGATATGGCATAATTACAAATTAGTACTGTCTATCATGTATAAATAAAAGAGAAAGACAGAGAGGAAGCAAAAAAGTGCAAATTCTCACATACGTCTAAATGAAGCCAAATTCAACAGACAATGCAGAGCATATTCCAAATAACACAGGGTAAAGAAAGACACTGTCAATCTGTCTAAAGATCCCTCTATAAATAATTTATATGCAGATGTCCCCATATTTAATCTTCGCATAGATGCAGAAAACCAAAAGTATGATAAACACCTTTGGATTTTAATTTCAGTGTTCCTTATATAAGAAAAAGGCGAGTATTCTCCCCAGAAGCAAGTCTTCCAGGGGGCTGGAGGACAGCAACCAATACGCCCACATTATATACAAAGAAAGATGGGAACAAAAGTTTCTTGGGCTGTGGTACAGCATTTTAGATCATTAGATCTTATACTGGTAACTGGAAATCTGATTGAAACTATAACTAAAATACAAACCAACAACATGCCTGCAAAAATATACCACCTAATCAGCACAACATTCCTACCAGGAAATGAAGTATTTTTTTCCATAAACTTTGGGACTACAATGTCAAATTAATGCCTTCAGCAACCAAGCACCGACTGATGCCCAGATACATCACCTCCATTTTTCAAGGTACAGTACCATGTTCAATTCCTTCGGCAGAAGCAATGGTTTAAGTAGATCCTATCTCCTCTCCCTCACTCTTACTCTGGTACCTTCCTTCCAGTCGCTCAGTTACAGTTGTGAAACTACACAGGAACCAGACAAAACAACTCACCCAATTTACAAAGGAACCTATCCAAAAAAGAGTATTTTAATTCAGGTCAGTTTTCTGACAGTTCATCCAGAGCCCCTGCAACCAGCTACACCAGCCAGCTGAAGGGGTAGCACGGGGAGAGTGCAGCCAGAGCTGGGAACTGCATAAACCAGCACAGACACCAAAAAAACCTTTTACACGACTGAGGTAAAAACAAGAGGGAAGGTTATTATATATCTGCAGGTGGAAAGGCTCAAACACACACTACCTAAGTATCTTGGTAATTCAGACTGTGAATGAGAAAAGAAACATATTTGATTCAGCTGATTCTTACATTACGTACAATCATACCCCTCCTCAGACAAAAAGCTGAGAATCACAAACTCTGCAAAAAAGACACATCTCTTCAGGATAATTTTGATGAGGTGCCTTCTCTTGTCTACTGACCCCAACAATCGATTTGTATCATGCAGAGTATGTAAAACACTATCTTCTCAAACTGACAGTGAAGGATTGGTTTTAAGATTTTTTTAATTTTTTTTTATTATTGCTAATAATAAACTAATACTGTAATGTTCCTTCCACTCTTGAACTCTTCTGAAGAACACATAGCTTGCATATACATATATATTTGAACAAAAGCAAACCAGAACTTTCTGATTTACCTTTATGCTTTCTATTTCCCAAGAAACAGAAAAATTATCAGTTACCAGACACACAAACAAACAAAAGTGCAGCAGATATCAGTGGTTGTCATGCACTGGCAAAAGAGCAGCAATGGTACTAAGTTCCATAGCTGAGGTGGTTCTAATAGCCAGCCTACCACTACTTTTATTAACGAAGCTTATGTGGTCTTTAGAAAAGGTTGAATACTCTAAGAGTGTGCAGAAAATATATTTATATTTGGCCTCTAAATTTAAAAAATATCATGGTAATCTGGGAATGTTTTAAATAGCAAAAGTAATGCTTCCCAGATGAACATGGAGCTTCCTTCACGCTCAAAAGGGGAGAAGGTCCCACGCAACACAATGAGCATGAAAGTCAACATGAGACAGAAGAAGTATAGAAAAAGGCCAAAAGAGGAAAGATCAAATGAAAGGAGATTTTCACTAAGTAATGAAAGACCTTTCACCTTAGTGAAAGATTTTCACTAAGACCTTGGATGATGGGGCCCAGGAAAGAAGTAGACATCCTCAGTAATCAGCTCTCAACTGATTCCAGGAATGATTCAAACAAAAAGAAAAAAAGACGCAAGAAAAGCTGCTCCAACAGAATCATACTGTAGGGCTCTCAGAAGTTGATGACTGCCTTTTGAAAAGTTAACTGTGAATATAAGGGTGAGTATGGCTAAGGCAGGCATAGGCTGCTCTTCCAACAGGAAAACTCTCCACAGCTTCAGACATTCCTCTGAATCACTACAATAGCTCCCAGATAAATTCAGAGTGAAAAAGAATACAACCCATGACTGACGTCCTGACACTTCTAGGTCACTCCTCCTTCGAAGGCAACAGCAGATGGGCAGGTACTGCACTGAAGCTGAGTTTGGCATCAGCAGCTCCAGCAGTGCCGGATGGCACTCTTGGAGACTGGGACTGAACAATTACTGACCTGATGCCTTAGGATGATATCAAGATGACCTGACTTTCAGGTAAAACATTTCATGAACTCCATCAAAGAATCTCATCCATAAATGAATCTTTCCATTTTGGAAGGACAATGTAAACACATACCTGCTTCATACTGTAAAATTTCATGACAGATTTCTTCCCTTCCCCACAAGAAAAAAAACCCCAGAGAACAATCCCAGATAAAGAAAATGTATTTAACTGTAGTAAAAGAGGGGCAGATACCAAAGCTTTGTGCCCAAGCTAGCAGATGTAGACATGGGCATGCAAAATTGTCAACAATATTTAAAATAACTATTTTCACTATTTAATAAACCCTTTAATATAAACTTTGCTTTGATGGAATTTGTCAGAGACTCAGAATGCTTCTGGTAAATTATTAATGTAAATACCAAGTGTTTTATCAAAACGCAAACCTGAAAGGTATGTAACTTAAATGGTACCGTGTATTTTGTCCGTTGCATCAACTCTGAACTTTTTATTCCCAAACAACAAAACAAACTGAAACCACAAAATTAAAACAAATACCAATATGTTCTGGGGTACATTTAGCTCACATTTAAGTAATCCCAACATCTTGGATTAACTAATAATGAAACAATCGGAGACAGAACAGAGTCCACTTAACTTAGGAGTCCTAAACCCCAGCAATTTAAACACAGTAAATAAATGAATGCTGTCCACAGCTGACGGCAGACATAGATACCAACTCTTGATCTCGATATAGGACACTACAGATTCCCCAGCACTGCATTTACATTTATTTGCATCCAGAGAAGGTGTCTCTCTAATGAGGTAAATGCACACTAGTGAAATGGACACATCACAGTTCATGTTGGCTCCTGACCACAACATACAGCTGAACACAAAAAAGAAAAAAAAGTCAAAACAATCCTAGACAAAAATTCCCAACTCGTGGTTCCTGACCTCAGCCCTAATCTTGCTACTCCCGTCATAACCGTAACTCTCATCTTTCCCTTTATCTGCCCAGCACACAGGTCTGTGCTCATGTCTGCTCACAGCCCAGATGTGGCCCGGAACAGGCCTGAGTGCTCGTTTTGGTACAAACTACTCTGGGAAGGACTGAAGGGAGCGTGGGATCTCTAGGGGGGCTTGACGAGCCATCCTGTCTGGATAAAGGGTGCCATGTGTAAAGTCAGAACGCTTCACTGTAACACACTCTTCCCACCCTGATGTCTATGAGGCTTTGTAGCCGCAACTTGGGGGAAAAAAACCTGAGAGTAAATTCAATTAGCTTCAAATTTACTCTTCCTTGTAGAATCAACTACAAGGAGTGCTTGCATATACTGTACAGTGAACGGCCCTGACAAAGAGAAAAGCACCCACAAGATACTGCCCCTTTATTAAAACTACGAAAGAAGAAGGAGTAAAAGGTAGGCATCGGAAGACCACGACAGCGAGGATTAGAATTTCGTGGAGCTCCACGGAGAAAAGTCACATCGAACGCCGGGCCGTGTGGGTCCGACGCGACTTTGAAGCCGTTCTCATGTCCTGGAAGCCGCCCAGTCCTCTCCCGGCCCGCCTGACCCGTCTCCCACCGCCGGAGCGGGGCACGGCCGCGAACCCCGGGCAGCCCGTCCGGGGAGGGCGGCGCGGCCCTTTCCCGCCCGCCCCGGCCCCGCCGCCATGGAGGCCGCGGCCTCCGCCGGGCCTGTCCCTGCCGGGCCCCCTCCGTTCCTCCCCCTCCCTCCTGCCCCACTCACGGCCGCGGAGAGGCGCAGCTGGTTGGGCTCCATGGCGGCGACGCGGCCAGGGCCGCCTGCGCCGCCCGGCCCTGCTCCCGGAGCCGGCACTGCTCCGCCAGCCGCTCCCAGAAAGCGGGGCAGAGGCGGAGCGCGCCCGCGCCAGGGGCTCCCTTCCCTCCTCCCTCTCTCCGCGGCGGGCGGGCGGCGCGGGGCAGCGGGGCGCGGGGGAGGGCGAAGGCGAGCCGGCACGGGAGGGGAGGGGAAAGCCGCTCATCATGTTTAGGGGCGAGGGGAGTCTCCCTGCCCGGGAACCCGGTGCGCGGCCCCGGCTGCCGCGGTCTCCGCCTCTGGGAAGGTAGGATTCGGCCGCAGGGGCTCGGAGAGGTCTCGGCGCGCCCCTCTCCTCCTCGCCCCGGTTCGCCCTCGCACCACCCCCGGCGCTTTCGGGCAGGTCAGTCCCCACTACGGGGGGCACCGGTTCAGACCCGGCTGCGGGCAGCGGGGCCCGGCGGAAAGGGTCCCTCCGGAGGGGTGGGGGAAGGGGAGGACGGCGTTCTGGAGGGGACCCCTGAGGGAGAAGGGGACGCCCCAGGGCGGAAGGGCCCCGGGAGGTGCTCCGCGGCGGGCAGCAGTTGCCAGGCGTGCCCGTGTCGTGCGGGAGGTGCGCGCTGCCCTCGGCGCGGCACAGCCTCGGCACGGCGTTCTGTAACTCCGATTCTGCTTTTCGATCGCATCTCGCAGCTAGAAGGACAAAATGTGACCCAGAACGTATGAGACCCAGTTTCTCTGTGAGGACCGACGGCAACTGGGCAATAGAGTTTTAGAGCCTGCGGGTTGTATCAGAGAGAGGAGCTTTATAAACTGAAAGTGTTTTCTGATAAGGTAGCTGGGAAGTACCAATCTTCAGCATTAAGTCATCAGATACAGCAAGCAGCTGTCAAAGAATGGTTAGTTTCCCATCAAACACAATACCTGAACCAGCATTTTGACTGCTGAGCTCTGAAATGCTTTAATCAATCCATCACAGATACTTTCTTCTGGACTGCATCAAAGTTTCCATTTGTGTTATTGATTTGGATTCTTAAACCACAGATACACTTAATACAGGGAAATACTTAAAATACTACTGCTGTCCTTGCAGTATGCAGAGTGTAAAATACAAGTTATAGGTAGTTGCTGTTACACAGTATGGTGATCGCACACCATAGTTGACAGTGTACCTCTTTACCTTGGCTACCAAATCTCCCTTTTAAAACCAAAAGTTTTTTCTACTGACCTAGTGTTTGTGTTACTCATTATGTTATTGCTGTGAAGGGATATAAAGGTGATGCTAAAGTGTCACACAGAAAAGAACTGAGTGGGACTATGCTTATCTGAGTGTATGCAGTATTCTGCTGAAGTCCTACTGAATGTGGCCCTTTTCCTCTAAAGGGCAGAGACTGTTGCAAAAATGGAATTCTCCTAATTAATAATTTAAATATCTCAAAATAAATAATGTATACCCTCAAAGCTGTAATAGCAGGCATCTTTTTGTTGTTCCTGTCTTATGGAAATGCCAGACTGCTTTAGTGTGAATGAATCCTGACATGATTCTGGAAAATGGGCCAACATATCATTGATTATGCACTTTGAAGAAGAGTGGGAAAGGTAGAGGAAAGATTTACAATTCTTGAATCTCTTGGCATTGTGTTGTGGCCACAAAAGCCTGCATATAGAAAAAACAAAGTTTCTGGGACAGGAAAATTCTGCAGTGAGTCCAACTATAGCAACTGCTGTAGATGCTGAAGTTATTTTATAAACAGCTTTTCTCAGAATAGCGGCTAGATAATTTCATCTTGCTATGCTGTGCTTTTCTGATATCTGACTGTGTTGCTTTCAAATATCACCCAATTGCTTTTTGTATATGGGCTACAGTAAGCTACAGCTGGGGAACTGGATCAGAAATGGCCTCCCAAATAAATTAGAAGTTGGAACCGAACCTGTCCTTAGCCCCTGGTATGTGCATCATAGTTTGCTCCTGTGGGAGTATGTCCACAGCTTAAATCCAGCAACAGTATGCTTTGACACCAAGAAGGCACTTCTCCCATATGAGTCCCACAGGACTGGAAGATATGGGAAAAAGAAGAGAAGAGAGGGTCATAACTCTTTGCAGGGCAGGAGGTGCTACGGTTTTAAGTTGGATTTCAATGATTGTACAATGATTCTAAGCTGTGCTTAGAAGCACAGCTTTCCTTTACAGATAAATCAATCTATGGGTTAGCTGCCACTGAAGAGAGCATTCCTCTTCTTGAAGTGGCCCTGGTGCTCATCTGACCACTTCTGCTGAACTGCAGTATTTAATTTTCTACCAGCCTAGCTCCTGTGACTATCCTGCTGTGGTGTCTGAGTAATAGTGGTGGGGCAAAAAAAAGGTTAGGATGGAGGGATGGGACAGGAGTGAAGGAGGAGATGAGAAAAGAGTTGCCCTTTCAGCAGCAGCTCTCTTAGATCACTTAGCACTAGTGTGACACAATTGTCTTAAATTACAGTAGCCCTGAACTTCATGGTTCACAAAGGAGACATCACTGTAGTTTTTACTTTAGTCCTGCCCTAAATCTAGAATGAGCGAAGTGTGAGACCTAGTGTATCCAAAAAGCTTAAGTCAGACATGGTACATACATGACAGAGATGCAGAATTCAAAGAATACCAACATACTTACTGAGCTGTTCCCAAAAGCTTCCAGTATAGGAAAGTTCACAGCATAAATAGCTTAATCTATTAACCTCTTAGGTATAAAGGATTTTTTTCCTACTATCTAAGAAAAATCTTCTTTGTTGCTACTTGAGATAATTTCTTAATGCCCTTCACTAGTTGATACAGGAAGAAAGAATTGATCATCATTTGAATAACAACTTTAAAAATTGGAAGACATATGCCCACAGCCTTCCCTCTTTGCAGCCTAAGAAAGTACTTTAACCTTTCTATATTGGTTACATTTTGGAGAACTCTTATGTTCTATTGCTCTTCTTCAGACTCAGATTTCTCTACATATTTCTAAGAAACAAAAAGTATAGCTGTTTAGTCCTTAACAGTGTTTAGCCAGGAAGAAATACATCAGCCTTCCTGCAGAAGATCTTCTGATAAAGTTGTTTGAACTCAACAGCTTCTGATTTGTTGAATCAAAATTAGTTTGGTTAGCCAATTAAAACATTGGTCCA